AATATCTGGGCTGAGGGACTAGAGTTTCTCTCCCAACTGCTCAGCTCTGCCTTTGTGCTGGGGGGAGCGGCCACGACCACGTGTTAAAAAAAAAAAAAAGGTGTGAGTTTAACAAAACAAAGCAGAAACAGGCAACAGGCAACAGGCCCGGATGGGAACCTTGGTCCAAAATTTGCAGACTCCTGCTGAAGATGACTTGCTTAGAAGGGGAATTGCCCCCCGCCCCCGCGCTGCTGCACAATGGCACAGCAGCCCCGAGTGGGGCAGGGCGCGGGCGGCCGGGTCAAGGGGCAGGGGCACACCCAGCTCTGCGCGGTCAAGGCGAACTCTCCCCCGAGCGGTTCTGCACAGCTGCGTCCCCGCCCGCAGGGCAGACGCGCCCCGGCCACTCACGACCTCACCAGCACTGGTATCGCTCCTTGTTGCCCAGCTCCCGGGGGCGCCACTGCGCAGCGTCCCACCAACAGGTGGCGGACGTGAGCGCCCGTGTTTCTGGCAGCAGTGCTACCTCTGCGGGACGGAAGGGAAGCCATTTCCCGTGGGCGCTTGGAGCTCTTGTCCGGGCCCAAACGCCGCGCGCACTCGCGGTGGAGCAGGTTATCTCGGTCACTCAGGTCCTGTCTTAAAGCTCTGACCCCCCCACATGCCAAGGAAGGACAGGCAACCAAGACTGGCAGAGGCCGCGGCCGGAGGACCGTGGACCACGCTGACATCCTGACACAGGAAAGCCACCAACTCGGGAAGGCAAAGGGGGGGCGGGGGGTGGCCCTCAGCGGTTCCTGGGGCCTCGGCTCCGGTGAGACAAGCCTGCGGGGGGAGGGGAGGGGGGCCGTGCTGAGTGCCCCAGGTCCCCATTCCCTCCCCTACTTCACCGGAACTACGAGATTTGCTGTTTTTATATTTTTTAAAAATTCTATCACTACATAATACTTTATTTTATTTTTTAAAAGATTTCATTTATTTTTAGACAGGGGAAGCGAGAGAGAAATAGAGGGAGAGAAACCTCAGTGTGTGGCTGCCTCTTGCGCGCAACCCAGGCCTGTGCCGTGAAGGAAATGGAACCAGAGACCCTTTGGTTCGCAGGCTGGTGCTCAATCCACTGAGCTGCACCAGCCAGGACATACGTCACATTTCATCTGAAGATTTTAGAAGCTGCTGAGAAAGACTGTAAACCACTGTTCAATATTAATGAACTCATGAGACCCAATCTCTGCTCTTACGCGGGGAAATGGGATGTGGAAACCCAGACCCAGGCCCTGCATCCAGCCCGCCCGCCCTGTGCCGCCCGCCCCTCCTCAGCGCCCCTCCCTGCCTAAACCCCTGGGCTCGCCCTGGGGCCGTTCGACTGGCCGTGGCTGCAGGACGGGTCCCGCGGAGCCTGCCAAGGGCCGGGCGCTGTTTTAAAGCCCTTCACACGGACCGGTCCGCCCGGTTCACCCTGCGGACTGTCACCACCCCATGTAACCGATGGGAAAACGGAGGCTCGGGGAGGTTGTGAGCCTGGAGGCTCAGCCAGGACTGGGCGTGGCTCCTCCCGAACGTGGTGCTCTGCTGGGCCACCCGCTCCCACCGGCAGGGCCCCTTGGAGAGGGGGGCAGGGCCCAGGAGGGACGAATGGCCCTTTGGCCGCCCCACAGCAGCGTCTGGGCGTCTGGGCCTGCTTGGCCTGGGCCCTCCTGTGCCCTCGGGCTTGCACTGCAGGACTGGCCACGTCCGCCAGGGCCCTGGCCTGCGCCTCAGGTGACTGTTCAAAGGCCCGTCAGGACTGCCCGGGACGGGAGCTGGGGCACAGCCGTCCTGGGGCAGAGCCAGCCATCTTCTTCAAGACCCCCTGCCAACCCCCGCACGCCCCTGACCTGCACCCCTGTCCGCAGGGACCCCGCAGGCGCCATCACTGTTTTCCAAGAGGGCGGGCAGGAGGACCGTTTCTGCCCCCAAACCCCCCCGAACAGACTTGGCTCCGAAACCTGGAGGCTCCAGAGCCTCAGGGGCTGAGAGCGAGTCCGTCCTGGGTGGTGGCAGGCTGCTGTGCGGGGAGGGGGGGACAAAGGCCGTGAAAAGGGACAGTCGGGGAAGGTGGCAGACAAATCTGGTGGCTTAGCTGTAAAAAACAGGAAGCTTTTATTCATCTGACTTTTACAGTTTCCCTTAAAGACCCCGCCCCCGTGTGCTCTGTAGGTGACTTGTCTGTCTGTGTGGGTCGGACGGAGAAACACAAGGACAACTCAAAAAAGAATCTTTTAATAAAAATTGCTCATAAAAATCCTAATAAATTTCAGAGCAGGATATTTCTTAGTACATTTATAAAAGAACATTTGGTCCTTTTACAAAAAAGCTCCCTTTTAATTTAAATACACTTCTTATTTACAGATTAGACATAAAATATCATCTCTAGTTGCAAAGCATATTGCACATTACAGAGAGAAGCCATTTGTGAATTTCTAATAGGTTTTTCCAGAGTTTCCGACTCTAGATTTCTTTAAAAAAAATTTACCTTTCCTGTGCATAATAAATAAAAATGCAGCTTGTGTTTTGCTATTAAAACGACCACAAAATACCTTTAAAAATAGTTCTCTGACTTTGGGCGGGGGCAGGTGGGGAAGGTCCACAGGAACTGAACACTGGCACCAGACTCGCGCCCTCATGGGCCACTGCCGGCGGGAAGGTGACCCTGAGCCCTGCTCACACTGGCGGGCTGCCCCCACTGTCCCGGGAGCAGCCCCAGGACTGCCCTGCAGGGGAGGCCCCGGGGCGGGGGTGGACGTGGCTGATGGGAGAGGAAAGACGAGGTGGAAGCCACCGCCAGCCCTGCCTGGCGGCCAGCGCGGAACAGGAAGCGTCTGAGAAAAGAGCTGCGGAGCCCCCGGGAAGGAGGGCATGCCAGACAGTGCGACGGGGTTGCCCACACGCTGAGCTAAGAGCGGAGCCGGGGAAGGGGGTGGCCGGGCTCGGCCCTCCACGGCACGGCAGCGCGTGCCTAGCCAGGTCCGAGGCTGTCACCTGCAGACACCGCCCTGGGCACCGACAGAGAACGAGGGCTCCACGGGTGGCCGCCCCACAGTCCGGGCAGCCTCCATGCAGAAGCAGAAGCCGGAGCCGGGAGGCCTGCCCGGAAGAGGCGGCGACGGGAGCTGGATTTCTAAAGGCTCTGCACGGCTGGAGAGCTGGCTGTCACCTGTCCTCCAGGAAGGGGAGTTCCTGTCCCATCACCTACAGCAGCGAAACCGCCCTTCCCCATGGCCCCCCAAACACTGGCATTGTGTGGACCACAGTGAGGGAGACACCAGCTGCTCCCCAGGGGGCTCCCCGGCAAAGCCCTAGCAAGGGAAGGCCCCGACACGGGACAGAACAGCCAGAGGCCTGCGGAGCGAGGCCCAGCCAGAGGGGATCGCGGAGCGCTAGCTGTGTCACTGAACCGGGAGGGACCGGGATGGCACAGAGGGGACACTCGAGGGGCCTGCTTTCTTGCCCAAAGGGACCCATCCTGCCAAGCGGGTCGGGAAGGCCTCTCCTCGGTTTCTCCCGGAGAAAAGCTACGGGCGCTTCTGCCTGCAGGGCTGGATCTGAAAGGAGACACTTTGGTTTTACTGGGCCAGTGAGACTGTAAATTTTCTGTGCGGCCAATGAGACAGTGTTGCTAAATAGAATGCTTCTGAAATAAAGGAAAAAAATGGTAACACAGAAGCATTTGATTCTTTTACTTTAAAACAACTGGAGTAGTAAATGTTTAAAAGATGGTGGGGATACATTATTACTGAAAATTACCCTTTTAAAAGTGGAAGAACTGAATTCTACATCTTTTTAAAAACAGTAACTAATTTTCAAGAAGGAATACAATGTGTCCCTTTGGCTGATGACAGAGGTAAACAGACCACAGACCACCTGTGAGATCTCGCGCAGAGCCGTGAGCGAGCGCGGCGCGTGCCCGGCGGGGCCGGAGGCCGCAGCGGGGCCAGGCCAGGGGTCCGGGTCCGTCTCTGCCTGAGCGCGCAGCATGTGGTCAGAGAGATACAAAGAAGGAAGCGAGAAAGAAGGCGCTGCAGCACACATTTCTCCCTATAAATGCTTGCTTAAAATGTCAAGTTGAAAGGCAATGACTGGCCAAGAAGTTTCCAGAGTCCTGCTAACTAATACCCATCAGGCCCCCCTCCCTCTCACCATGGTCCCGCCGCAGAGCGGTACAGAACTCGCCTCTTGGAACCAAGGCAGGAGCTGTGACCCAAACCGAAGCCACGTAAGGCACTGACCCAAAGCCTGTATGACAGAGAAACGGCTCAAGGATGCTAGAAAGTCCTCTGATCACTCCTGCCCCCAACTGAATGGATTGGCACTAGACACAGGAAACAAAATTCTAATCCTCGGTCGGAACCGAGGGTCCTTGGTTAGTAAGTGAGGCAGACGGAAGCTCAGACAACCTTGGGGTTTTCTCTCCCTGAAAGACACACACCCTGGTTCTGGAACCAGGCGGGCTCCTCCAGCAAGTTCACATCAACGTGAAACACATCCACAAGGGCCACCAGCGAGCTCTCCAGAGCAACGTGACAACTGAAGAGACCGCCTGTTAGAATTCAGGCAACGCCATTATTTGTAAGCGGATAACTAATAATACTGAGATGGTTACTTGGCGTGCAACTGAATAACTAGGTTATTTCCCCTGTACGTAATCCCAAATCAGGGGTGGGTATCGGGGAGAGCCCAGCTGTCCAATGAGAGGCAGGATGACAAGGTGCAATCAACAGGGACGCCCAAGGACTTCCCTGCACCCACAGCCGGCTGCCAGCGAGGCGGCCGCCCGGGGGAAGCTGTGGAGGTCCGTCCAAAGCGGCCCGTCGGCTGCGCTGAGCGCCATCAGCACAGTCACCAGGAGCCGCCTTCCAGGGGCCTCCCCACTCCAAACTGTATCCATAAGAAAAACAGGGCATTTTATTGAACAGAAGAGAAACAGTGACGTGAGCAAGCCTCTGCTGGGCGCGGGCGCGGGCCGGGCGGCCCCCTTGGCCCGGGGCGGCCCGCGGCGTTCGGTCCGCCGTGTTTGGTCCGGTGCGACTGGCCCACGGGGCCGGGCGGTCAGATGAGGCCCACCATCTGGTCGATCTGCCGCATGTAGACGCTCTTCAGGGGCAGCGAGTACCTCCTCTCGTCAGGCACGCGACTGCACTGGGGAGAGAAAAGCGGTGGGGGACAATGGGGACTTCGCAGGAGAAACCGCGCTGAGCCTCAGGGCTGGGCTGGGTGGCCGGGCCCAGGTTTCTCAGCCGGGCGCCGGGACGTCTGGGGCTGTCCGGGCGCTGTGGGAGCGTTAGCAGCGTCCCCGGCCTCTGCCTCTCGGTGACCCCCAACCCCACCGCCTAATGTGGCCACTGAGATTGTCCCCAGACACTGCCCACTGTCCCCGAGGGCTGACGTCCCCCGTGCACAGAGGGGCCCGGCCTCCACCTTCCACGGACTGCGGCCGCGGTCCCTCGTCCGCCCCCGATGGGCGCGTTTGCTCTTAGGAAAAACTGGTTTTTCTGAGTTTATGGCTCTTCTCATCCACAACTAAAACCTAAAGGCTTAAGAGTGCTTTTAAAAAAAGTTATTTTTTTGGTAATCAAAGGCGTTTTTCCCTCTCCCCTCCAAGGAGAGCGAGTGTGAGAAACAAGCATGAATCTGGGACAGTCCCCACACACATGGTGACGGGCTCTTCCCCAAAGGACCCGCCCCCGCCGCTCCGAACGGACCGCGCCTGGGCCTGGGCCTTGTCCTCAGGAGCCACGCCCGACAGGCCCCTCAGCTGGCCAGGTGTCCCACCCGCACTCTTTCTGCCTGAGCACCTGGCCCGCTGCCCCCGGAGGCCCCTCCTGCCTCCACGACCCACTGAAAGGCCAGCTCCTCTGAGAAGCCCTCCTGACTTCCGGCAGCCTGCGGCCGGGCCCTCCTCCCAGGACCTGGGGGACTGGCGGGCGCCCCACTAGGCTGTGCCCTGTCCAGATGGGGCCCCTCAGCGCCCAAGCGCCGGGCCAATGTGGCAGCCGGCTCTACCACGTGAGCGTCGCCTTCTGGTCCACAGGGCACGACCTGAACCTGGGAGTCGCGGGACTTTGTGCTTTGGCCTCTCACTTTTGTTCACAGGCTGACAGCCAAGACCTCCGGGCGGACACAAAGGGGCAGGGCCTGGGGTAGCGGGCATCTCAGCCCCAAAAGGCTCTGCCGAGGGGAGATGGCATGCAACGCCTTTGGGACAACGAGGCCTCCTGTTCCAGCCGGTGTCCGGCCCGCTTCCCGGCCTCACTCCCAACCTCCCCCCGCACCTGAATTAGTTGCTGGGCAGCGGGGACCGTGGCGAGAGACGCTGGCCCCGCTTCCACATCTCCCCCGCGGTCTGCCGGGTGACCCGCCGGCCCAGGGTGCGGCCGGACCCCCATGGCCCTCTGGAGCGTCTACACGAAAGGTGCGGTGGCCAACGCCGCTTCCTGCTCCTGCTGGGGCGGTGCCGCCTCCCTTCCACCCGCCCTCCGGCCCACGTGCCCCCCAGTGCACCCTGCTCCAGCCAACGCGGTGACTCTGACACAGGTCCGCCGCCCTCTGGCGCCGGGCAGGTCGGAAGGAAGGAGGGCGAAGTGCACCCTCAGCTGGCTCGGTCCTGCGGGGGCTCCTGCCGAGGCTGCCCTCGGGCACCTCCCCCGCCCCCGCCCTTCCAGCTGCTGTGACCGCTGTCCCCACCGGCCCCTGCAGCTTGGAGTGACACAGCGCTGCTCCTGTGGCTCCCCACCCCTGACGCCGCCAGCGTGCCTTCCTCCGCACACGAGCCGCCCTGGACAGAGCGGGAGCAACTCACGTTGGAGCTGGAGTTGATGACCTTCGCATCGTGGGACTTGGGCCTGTGCGCGGGCTTCCCCGCGGGGCCCCGCCCGCCCTCCTCAGGGAAGAGCCCCTTCCACGGCGGTTCCCGGATGTGCTCGTCCACAGACATGATGTGCCCCTCCGTTGTGAACATGTACCTCGTCCCGGACCTGTGCACTGGGTTCTCCTCATCGAAGAGCTAGTGGGGAGAAAAGAGAAGAAAGGTGTAACTGGCGACCTCGGTGCCGGGGGACCTGGCTCCCGGGCGCAGCCCCTGGGCTCTGCAGTGACAGACGCGGGGAGGCATCAGCGAACAACTGCGGTTCCCAACTTGGCTGCGAGCCCGAACCACCAACTTTGCTTTGACTCGGGTGCCCCCGCACCCTGGCTGAGTCACAGGGTTCGGGGCGAGACACAAACCCGGGCGGTGGGCGGAAGCCCTGGGCTTCCTGCTGGGTCCAGAACTGCCCGCCCCCCCCCCCGGCCCCCGCACTGTCAGATGCGGAGGGAGGAGGCAGGTGGCCTGTCCTTGGCACCCGCAGCTCGCGGGCCACCGCCCCGCGCATCCATGTGCCTGGGTGGGACCAGGCTCTGGGGACACAGGGTGCCTGGGACGGTCCCTCCTCCAAGGGCTGGCGGGGAGGAAGCAGGGCTCCATAAAGGCCCAATGACTGGACGCTGGGACATCTCAGGTGGAAAGCACCTGGGAGTCTCCTCGAGTGCTTTACAAAAGAGGGAAAACGGGGTGCAGCGCCATCCGCCATGCCTGCGTGGCAAGTGGGGGAGGGCAGGCTGGGCCCCGCTTCTGCCAACCCTGGGTCCTTCCCCCAGACCCTAGGGGCCTCCTGCGCTCCCTGCAGGCCCACACTGCAGACAGCCCCACAGCGCGGCTGCCGCACGGGGTGCAGCCTGGCCCTGGTCAGCCTGTGCCGCCACTGGGGACCCAGTGAGAGGGGACCCGGCAGGTGGCATCTGGGAGCAGGACACTGGCTAGACCACATGGCTGCTGGGAGGCACGCCTCCTCGGCGGCCTCCTGTGGAAAGTGGCACTGAAGCATGGGACTGGCACGTCCAGCCCCAGCTTTGCCCGTCACGAGCCCACTGTTGGAACGGCAGGCCCTGCGCCTGCGGAACGGGACGCAGCAGGGCTGTGAGGGCGGGCCCGGCTGGCTCAGCACCCCCCCGGAGCCGCCCATCGGGGGACCACGGCCCCTCGGTCTCCGTGACGCAGCGCCCGCTCTCGTCCACTGCGCTGTCCCCACCAGGAAGTCCCGCCCCTCCGGGCCTTTGTATGGAGCCAACCGTGCACAGGTGCACCAACGCCACGCGTGCCTGTCGCAGAGTGCAAGGCGGGGAGAGCGCTCGAGAAGGGGTCAGCACCGGGGTTTAAGCCTCGGCCCTGCCCGTCGCCTGGCGATGATGCTCAGGCAGGCCCCCCGACGTGTCTGTGCAGCCCCCACCACGGACACTGACTGGGAGCTCTACGTGACTACGAGCCCCGCGGCTCCTTCTAGGTGCAGACTCTCTGTCTCTCCGCACACGCGAGAACGTGCGCGGGGCCGGAGAGTCAGCCCGGCCGCAGATCTCTGCCCAGATCACACCGTGAGGAGGAGGACAGACGCCACACTCTTCCCGGAGAAGCCCCCCAACCACCTCACTATGTGGGCCCTCCGTGGGCCGTGGCCACGCTTCGCACTGTTTGCAAGCTCATGTCTCTGCTTGACAGAGCCTCCCCAATGCCGAGGTTCCAGGCCACGGGGAGCAGGGCCAACCGCTTCGGGTGGCCGGGGGACCTCACGACACACATACCAGGTACAAGTACTTGCAGGTCTCGCTGAGGAAGAAGCTCTCCATCCGGTCCTCCTTGGACTTGTCGATGACGTGGTGCAGCGTGGCATACCCGCACCTGTGGAGGGCGCCCCGGTCAGTGCCGCCTCAGCCCCGTCGCGGCCACGCCCTCACTGACGGGGCAGGGAGGCCTAGTGACGGAGGGGTGACCGCACTGCCCATGCCATGCGACAAACACATTGTGCTGGGTTCAGGGGCTGTCTGTCTTTAGCCGGACTGTCTGCAAGTCACTCACAAGTGGCCTAGGCAGCCGAGTCCCCGGGTTAATTGTAGGGAAAGGGCGGTGGGGTGCTGGCCGGGGTTTGCCGCAAGCATAGCAGGCCGCCGGGAAAACGGCCGGCTGCCACGTGGGAGGCCTGGGTTACACGTTCTTGTCCTAATGTTTATGGAACTGACGTGTCATTTGGATAGCCTATGACAGTTTCTTTTTAATTAAAAAATACTTATGACATACTACCTAGGTGAAAAAAGGTCACAAAATTGAAATAGGGTTTTTTATACATACATAGATACACACATTAAGGATACACACAGTTCCCCTGGCTGGTGTGGCTCAGTGGATTGAGCGCCAGCCTGCGAACTGAAAGGTCACTGGTTCGATTCACAGTCAGGGCACAGGCCTGGGTTGCGGGCCAGGTCCCCAGTTGGGGGTGCGCAAGAGGCAACCACACACTGATGTTTCTCTCCCTCTCTTTCTCTTTCCCTTCTCCTCTGTCTAAAAATAAATAAATCAAATCATAAAATGCAGTAGGGTTAAAAACAAAAAATACAAAGTCTGCTGGAACCTTACAAACAAAAATGGTGAGAAAATAAAAAGCCATTCCTGCTATAATGGACAGGCTCTATTACATAAAAAGGAAGCAATTTCCCTATAAAATTAACCTTAATGACCCGTCCTATAAATTAAAATGCTGGAGCGAATGAATAGCATTTCCCCAGAACAGCTGAAAGTGCATCCAGAGGGGCCGCCAGAGGCGGGGCTGGCGGGCGCACCTGACCCTCGTGTGCTTCTCCAGGCTCTGCAGGATGTCCATGCCCACGTGGAGGTAGAAGGGGTTCTTGGTCGCCTGGAGGGAACAGGAGAGCGTGTGACCCGCAAGCCCTGAGGACATGCTGGCAGCAGACCTCGCAGGCACTGTGGGCATTTGGAGCCGAAGGGCCACCGGCCAAAGGGAGGCAGCGTGCTGGGGCAGAATGCACCGGGGAGGTGCACTTCACCCACTGGGACTCCCAGAGCCGGGGCTCCCGCTTGCTTCCTGCTTAGCGCCAGCGCGCAGCAGCGAAAGCAGAGACCTCAGGCAGCTGCGGCTGGACGCGGGCTCGGGGGAGGCTGCCGAGGCCAGGCCGCGAGCAGGCAGCTGTGCCCTGGTCCTAGGAAAACAGCGACCACGAGGGCGACGCTGAAAATGGGAAGCAGCGCAGACAGAAATAGCGAGAAACCCCAGGCAGCTCTCCCTCTCTGGAGAGGCCCCCTCGCCCAGGAGCACGAGGGCCCCCGCCAGTTTCCCTGGGCTTCTCCGCTTTGCATCGAGAAGCCGAAGAGCGGGGCTCAGCATTAGGACGTTCCCCACTGAGCCTGGGCCCCAGCACCGAGGCCGCTGCCAAGCACACGCCGGTCACTGGGGCCGGCCCCGCAGGTGCTGTTCTGGGCGCACCGGCTGCACTGCACGCCGCCAGCGCCCCACGCAGTGTGCAACGGGAGGTTCTATGTGTGTGCATGTGTGGCAGGCGAGGGACAAACACCAGCCCGTGACTGCGGGGGAGGAGACCTCGCAGGGAGCGGCAGTCCCTCCGGCACGGGAGCCACTGCACCAAGGACGAACACTCCGTGCTCTCAGCATTGAACAAGGACAGGCGTTCAGACATTTCCCTGACTTTCCCTGACCAGCAAGAAAAAGAACTGTTTTGTCTGAATAATTATTGCAGAGACCGGGTCCCACAGCACACAAACTGCACCCCCAGAAAGAGTGTTTGGCCAGATCAGTTTGGAAAACGCTAGGCACCGAATCGACCTTGATTATCCAAGGACGTGAGAAGGAGCCCTATGGTGAAGACACGGCTCGGCTCGCAGAATGGCAGCTTAGCGCCGTCGTATGACGGCAGACACAGCCCTGGTCCCGTGGAACCGCGAGTGGTGCCACCACGGAACACTGCAGCCCTGCACCGACCAGCAGGTGTGAGCCGAGGGCCCGCTGCCCGGCCGCCCCCACGCTGGACCCCGCAGGCCGGGCGGCGCAGCACCTGGTAGAGCAGGTACGTGGACTCCACCAGCTCGGGCCGCAGAGGGTAGAAGAGCACGTCGGGCGCCTGCAGCTGCCAGTTGTACCTCTCAGGCAGCGCCCCGTACCGCTTCCAGATGGCGTAGTAGAAGGCGTGCAGGCAGATGGCGTCTTCTACGTCTCCCATCAGCACCTGCGGGCGGACACAGGGCACCAGGCTCAGGCGCTCTTCCCACGGTGGCAAGACGTGACACGGAGGCCGCGGGCCCTCCACCACCCACCCCGGGTTGGACACAAGACCAACCCCAAAAGCAGCAACTTGGAGCCACACAGCGCTCGCTATGGGGCCCTCAGGGCCAGGTGGGCAAGAACAGCATAGGTCAGGGGTTGCTGAGCTCAGAACAAGAGACAGCTGAGTAAGGGGACATCCAAAAAGACACGCGGTCACTTTTCAGGCGTGGCTACGTGTTTATCTACAGCCCGGATCAACACTCTGGCAACTAGCGGCACAAACAGAATCACTGAGACGGACTGTGGCCTGGACCTCCCAGGTCCGAAGGGACGGGGGTGCGCGGGGTCCGGAAAAGCAAGGCCCTCCCCTCGGGGCGCGATGGGGCGCCAGTACCTGCAGCCCGGGGAAGAAGGCCTGCAGGGAGTCGATCCACGTGTTCATCAGCTGCCCGCTGAACATGTTCACGTTGACATAGAGCGGCGGGTCTCCTTCTCCCTCGTTACAGGCTTCCCGGCTACGGGCCCAAGCAGAGCGGTCAGGGTGAGGGGAGGGACCTCCGGCGGCCCGGCTCTGCCCCGCAGCGGCCCTGGGTAGTTTGACTTAAGTGACATCAACATCAGCCTTCCTCCCTCCCCTTCTTTTACGCCCTTGGCGACGGGAGCCCGCACCTGTCGGTCCTAGAGTCTCGCGCCAGGGCACACCTGCGGCAGCACCGAAGCTGCAGCTCAGCCTTGGGATGGGTCAGACCTCGCTCTGCTCGCAGAAGGCGCCCTTAGGCCCTGACGCTCGGGTCTAAGAACAGGGCCACGTCCGTCTGGAACGTGGCGCAAGGCCAGGGTCTACGCGGGATTTGGCCTGAGTGGGGAGCCTGGTTATTTCTGCAGAGAAAAGGAGCCTCTCGTCTAACGGCCCCACGCCACGGGCCGCAGGAGCGCATCAGAGCTAGACGCTCAAGGGACTGCCACCAACTCTGCTGGGGGCTTTCAAAAGCCAGAACGCCAGCTCCGGCCAAGCAGCCGTGAGTGGAGCGCAGCCCCTGCAGAGGGGAGCCCACGACGGCCGACGTGGGACTGGGTCCAGGAAAGGCCCTGCCGCGCAGGCAGCCCCGGGGCCGGGACGGGCCGGCCCCGAGAGAGGGGGCACCCAGGTGGCCGTCACACTGCAGCGTGACGGAGGGGCAGCAAACGGTGCCGTTTTGTGGCACACGGAAGGGAGAAGCGTGGCCACTATCCTGCTCCCACCGGGCACGCAGGCCGGTCCTGACAATTCTTTGGAAAGTGAAAGACATGAAGTCTTCGTCCTGTTCCATCTGCAATGAACGCCCCGATAAACAGGGGCACCTGTCACTCCGCCAGGCAGCTAGGCTCCAGGACAGTCCCCAGGGGCCCCACCTCCCTGCCGTCGCGCCGGGGCGGCCCCTCCCGCGCGGTGCCAGGCCGGTCTGGGCCGCCGGTTTGCCACTCTGAGGTCAGGTCGTGAAAGCATGTGGCCTCCTTTTGGGCCTCCTTCCTCCTCAGCAGGATGCACCCGTGAGCTGCTGACGAACAGCTCCGAGGGACCGAGGCCTCCGGCTGACAGCCAGCGGGGGCTGGCGCTTGACGGAGCTTGGAAGTGGGCCCCCCAGCCCCGACTGGACCGTGACAAGGCCATGGCCCCCATGAGAGCTTGGGGGCCACCTCGTGAAGCCCTGGTCAGCTCAGCCGCTCCGGCTCCTGACCCTCGGACGCCGTGTGGGACGCTGCCTGCTGCCGTGAGCACTGGGTTTCAGGCGGTTCGTTATGCAGGAGCAGCGGGCGGCTAATACACCTCTTCGCCCCCAAGTGGCTGACAAACAACGGGCGCGGGCAGAGGACGTACCCCCTCCGTAAGTAGTTCTGGATGCTCTGGTAGGCAGCGTTGAACATGTCGAGGTCTTCCTGCTCTCCAAAGAGGATGTAGGATTTCAAGAGGTACTCGTAGAAGGAGTCCAGTCCGGCTCCCAGGCCGCTCTGCTTCCCGACCCAGTGGCCTGTCTGGATGTTGACCACATTGCCTGTGGGGACAAACAGAGACTGTCAGGCCCCAGCTTGGGGGCGGGGGCGGGCGCAGCCTGCTTCTGGGGTCCTGGTGCCTCAGCCCTTGGCAGTCAGAGAGAGAAGGACAGCTGGCCCCCGCTGAGGCCAGTCCTAACAGCAGCCTGGTCAGCCGGGGGCCTTTCCGAATACACGGGGTTCCGTGCGGACTCAGATGCGGGGGAAACACCGCATGCCAGAGCCAAACAGGGCGGGCGCGTCGCTTCTCCAGACGGACGGCCCGTTTCAAAAGCCAGAAGTGTACGCAGCTGTTGGCGCAGGTCTGCCACTCCTGGGGACTCACCCTCAGAACACTTTTAAGGGAAAGTGTTGCTGTGGTTCATCAGGGAATTACAGATCATATAATTTACATTATCTGTAGAATGGAAAAAAAGGGAAAAAAACAAATAATCTAAGGGTCCGACATCAGAAGGAGAGCTGATGGACTACTGGGTGGATTTTAAAGACAGTCACTTTGATGGCTCTGGCTGGTGGGGCTCAGTGGACTGAGCACTGGCCTGTGAACCAAAGGGTCGCCGGTTCGATTCCCAGCCAGGGCACAGGCGGGGGTTGCAGTCCAGGCCCCCAGTAGGGGGCATGTGAGAGGCAGCCACACATGGGTGTTTCTCTCCCTCTCTTTCTCCCCCCCTTTCCTCTGTCTAAAACCAATCAATGAATCAATCTTTTAAATAGGAGTTGTATTAAAAAAAAAAAAAAGGCAGCCACTTTGAAAACAAGGTACCCATGACTTGCCAGCTGGGAGGCAGAATAAAAACGTTTGTTTACACTACAGCTTGAAAGTCCGTGAAAGCCGCAGTGACGCAGGTCACTGTCCGGTGACGTGGGGTGACAGGCGGGGTGGCGTTTTTGTTTCTGCTGGCGTTAACTGCGACTAACTTGTAAATCAGTCTAAGAATGTGAGGTGTAATCACAAATCACTGTTTAGAAGTGGAGCCATACGGCCCCACGACAATCAAGTCGCTTCCCAATGACAAAAATGCATTTCTCAATGTCCAACAGCGACATGAGGGGGAACCCGTTTTTAAATCACACCCCGCGTCAGCGAAACGCTGAAGACCACCAACGCTGAAGGGCGACCCCACGGGGATCCGGCGCTCCTGATCCCTTCTTCCTGCTTTTATCTATTTGGAAATTTTTGCAATTAAAAATAAAAATACCTTGGCCTAACATTCTCAAGGGAAAAGTAAACCCACCTAATGCAGGTTTAATCCGAGCTTTCAACCTACAGGTGACGCTGAACGTGGGCCTTTGGGGGCTGGCCCTGCCGTGCGATCGAAATCCACACCCACTGCTGACAGCCCACCGCAAACCTTGGCGAGGTCCAGGCGCCACATATTCTGTGCCTGTCCTGTATACTGTATTCTTAGGGTTAAGTAAACTAGAGAAAAAAGTTGCTATGAAAATCATAAGCGAGAGCAATTTTATGTGTAGTTTTCACTGCCCAGCCCTGCGTCTGAGCGGGCACGCTGCTCAGGCCGACCGGCCGGCCGCCGGCCTGGACTCCCCGACAGGACGTGCAAGCGTCCTGTGTAGAACCTGGCATCAGAGCGGCAGAGCCTGCCTCACGGCGCTTCCTTTCACAGCATTTTCGGGGACAATGGCTTTGGGGTGGCATCTGCCGAGGAGCAGGTCGGAGGGGGTCTCAGAGGGCAGCAGCGTCCTCTGCCGGCCGAGCCTCACGGCCGGGCGCTACGCAGAGGCGGCAGGGAGGGGCCGGACAGGGCGCACGCTGAGGGCCAGCCTCCAGCTCGGATTCAGAGGCCCGAGGAGGCAGGCGTGGGGAGGAGGGGGGCGCCCGAGAGAAGAGGGAAGGACACAGGCCCATGCTCGCAGTCCCCACAGCCGGGGCAGGTGCCCCGTACCTAACAAGCCGGTGTCATTGCTCCGGAGGTTCCAAAGGGCTTTCACGGCGCGTCTGGCCACCCACTCGAAGGTGGAGTCCCCCAGCAGCCGGCTCAGGATCCCAAACTCCACCAGGAGGGAGCCAGCGCCCGCTGTGCACGTCTCGTTATTGCTGTCGGGAGGCACGCCCGTCTTCAGGTTCACCTGGGGACAGGAAGAGACACTCACGCAGGCCCGGCTGGAGGACCATGGGGCCAGGGGGGCGGGGCCAGGCTGCACCACTGAACGGAGGGCCACACCCACTGCAGTGGGTCGGCTCGCGGCCTCCCCAGAAGCAGGAGGGTTTCAGATATACACACAAGGCAATGAGGACGCCGGGGCCTCGGCTTACGCGTAAGAGCAGGCCTTAGGGAGTCATGGGAGGGCTGTCTGCTAGTCCCCCCCCCCAGTTCTCCTCGTGGTCATGCAGTGCCCGGTCTGGCGTGAGACCAGGCGGCTGGGATCCCGTGCGCATGCGGAGTGGGCTGTGAGCTCACTCCTGCGGGGAGAATGTAAATGAACCGCAGGCTGGAGGGGAGGACAGTGGTCCGCGACAGACTGCTCATCCCTCGGGCGCTGTGGCCGCCCCAGAGGCCGGCTCGGGTCCCCGAGGAGTCTGCGTGCGGCCAGCCAGCTGCCACAGGAGGGCACCTCACTCCAGATCCTGCCCTTAAGTTGGCAGCTAACTGGCCCGTCTGTGCAGGCTGAACTGGGAAGATCCGCAGGAAGGACAGTCACCGAGCTCCCACAACACCCACGGGAGGGTCTCGGGGAAACGTGCCCCAGCTGGAGATGAAGACAAACCCCCAGACTATTCTGCAGCAGGGACAGAAATCCCCCAGGCGACCCGACAGTGCGGAGCATGGGAACGCAACTCCTTCCTTAACGAGGATTATGATATCAGGTGTGTCCCTGAACGCCCAGCACACAGTAGGTGCTCAGCACATGCCAAAAGGACTGAAAAACGTTTACATCATCTCTAGGGCCAAACTCTCTCAGACACAGCTTTCCTCTTGCATACCAGCCCCCTCCTCGCCCCACATAAGCCAGTCAGCACAGACCCCCGCGCAGGACGGCGGTGGACCAGGGGCCCTGTGCTTACCCGGGGGTAGGGGATCCCCGTCTTGGTGTTCTCAAAGGCAGGGAGCAGCCGCACGGCCAGGTCGTGAGCCATGTGCAGCAGCTCGTTGTCGTAGTCCTCGATGGTCATGTCCCCGAAGGGCTGCTTGGAGTCCGTTATTATTCTGTGGGCGGAAAGGAGGCTCCCCAGGACCCTGGTGACAGAGGGGCACAGAGACAAGGGAAGCAGGTTGGCCGGGCATGCGCACAGGCCGGGTCAGAAAGACACAAGCAGCCTCAATCTGCGTGACTCCGAGCGGCTTGGAATCAGGAGGGCTGGACCTTGGTTTCCTGAAGCTCCCCAGTAAGAAGAGCCCGTGTCTAGTTCACCACGTTACCGAGAGGAAGAGAGGCATTGCGCCAACGACCCCACGCGAAGTGACAGCTGAGGTCTGTCCCCTGACCCCCTCATCCGAAGTGGGGGCTCCAACTGCGCCCAGAATAAACACTGCCTTTTCTTTCTGATGATCGCTCTGGGCTTCTCTTGCTTGGGGAAAACGCTTAGCGTTAGGAGAAACAAAATAGGGCGTGGTGGCAAATACTAAGTAACTTCTGGTTTTGGCCGCCAAGCAGCTGATGGGGAAGAGGCCCGGTGAGGAAGAGGAGGTGATGACCCGCTCGGAGCGGGGGTCCTGTCCCCAAAAGGTGGTGAACGATCTGACCTGGGCTGTGACAAGCTTTCATAATTTTAATTTCAAATAAATGGTACCTCTGGAACATTATGAAGTCAGACAATTTTCAAAAATAAAATTAAAAAAAAAAATCACAATATATCAAGCTAAAGAGGCAAGATACCAACCCGGGAACGGAACGCACGCCCAGTCCCTCAGGGGCGCACGCGGGGAGACGCGCCCTGGGCGGCCAGCGGTCCTCTGCGGTGGCAGCAGAGGAGGACTCTCACTTCCTGCCGGACCTTGCAGGGGTTTTCTTGGGACACAGTGAAGGGAGGAAGTGAAGCCAGACTTACATTAAGGGAACATTTTCTGTTCAGACCAAAATGTAATTGCTCTGAAATGTCAATTGTTGCGGGTTTGACAAACGCAAGAAACAAAGGCACAAAGTGGCCAGAGTGCCACACGTCCCCATGGGCCCCGGCCTCGATCTCGCAGCTGGGGGACCTGCATGGGGGTCCCTGGCCTCACACGCACACAGGGGGCCTCTGTCACCTTATGGGCTATGTTACCTTATTGTGGCCTCAAAGACTTGGACGGTGGAATCTTTGTCAAATGAAACTGTGTTGATCACTAACTTGACTGCTTTCTGGAACTCGGATGAATTTCCCATTATCTTTAAAAAGAGGAACACAAACCATTACAACAGCCTGGAACGAAATGGACGCGGAAGGGTTGCGGGGGCTGGGCCATGTCTCCTAGCATCTGCGTGGGGTACAGAAGCCCAGCCAGGCCTTAGACTATCGGCAGGGACACATGGCAAGCCACTTCCTCCAGCTCCACAGCCACACCTGCAAATGGCAAAACCGTGGACGCGATTCGTCCTAAGACCCCCGCAGCTTCCCCTTCCGCTCTCCCTCACACAGGCGTTAGCGGTCCTCGAGTTCTGGAAATCGCAACATTGAAGAAACAAAACTCGAGTTCTGGAAATCGCAACATTGAAGAAACAAAACTCGAGTTCTGGAAATCGCAACATTGAAGAAACAAAAATACCACCTCCTTGCTGCTCCTCAGATAAACGGGCAGCTTGGGTGCTTGGCTCCCGGGAGACTAAACATCTGGAAAATGGTCCAGATGTCTGAACGCTTGGAGAAATACAACTGTTATCTTTCAGAGCACAGCATAAAACCAGGGACGCTGGAAACAAACAGAACAGCAATCCGCGCGGTCCCTTTAGGAATGTGCCCTACAGCCTGGTTCCTGTTTGGGGGGCGTGGCCGTGACACCCTGCCAAGCGCTCTCTCCTCTGTGGAACGCAAACTGGGCACCAACGTTTTCAGATTAACCTGAGCGGAAAAGCTTTTGTGCTGTCCAAAGTTTTACAGCGTCGTAAGGATACACACACCGGGAGGACGCGTCACTTACTCAGACCCTCTCTCTTTCACGTCTGCCCTGGTTCCTAGCGCGTCCTGGTTGGGGGCATCTCCCCTCACTTTTACTTCCCTGGACCTCGCAGAGCAAGTACAGGCAGCTCCTTTCTGGCCTGAAAGCTCTTTCCTTTTAAAAGACCACGTGACCGCGCTGCAGGCCGCACCGCAGGCCGGCAGATTGCTGTCTTCGAGGGGCTCTGCTCTGCGTCTGGCAGGGCAGTGTGCACGACACACGTGCGGGAGCCAGTTTGAAATGTTACCAAAGAAAAGGAAAACCTCAACAGAAGTAGCCCCTGAAAAACAAGCCTAAAGTGTGAACACAGCAAAGGCCGGATGTTGTACAATGGAAACCACAGAGAGGGTCTGTTCCTCCCAGATGTGCACTGGTGCCAACATCTGCCAATGCCACGGCTACCGGGCTGGTCTCGGGTTGAGTGGAAGGCGGAGGAGGAGGCCACGAGGGCAGCTTGGTGCCACAGTTCACTGCCATCGTCAGCGCGGACAGCAGGGCGGACACCCTTGAGCAGGCTCCGAGCGCTGGTTGCGCCCAAGGAGGGCAGCGGGTCTCTGCCCTGCGGGGCTTCTCGGAGCCTCTGAAGTGCTGGGGTGCGCGGTGGCTCTCCAACAGTGGGACAGACATGCAAACTTCCCCAGGTTCAGTTGAGGACAGAATTCTACTTTCAAGGATGCCCTGGAGTCTGTGTTGGGAAGCGCTGGATTGGCAGGAATTCGTTCTTGGAACACTTCGTACTTGCAGTGGGTGACAGAGATAAGGTCCTGAACTTGGTGAGCGAGGCAGGGGATGGCGGGGGAGAGACAGGTGGGGTGAGAGGGCCAGGCTCCCACAGCCGTGTGGGAGTCTGGGGACTTTGTGAAGCAATGCATGCGGCTGAGTCAGATTGTCACCTTCTGTGAGTCAGCTCTAACCGGGCCGCACACACCAGCCTCGGCACGTCTGGTTGCGGCGGGGGATGGTGGAGTTGGAGTCACAAACGCTGGAGGGGATCCTGGGAAGCCAAAGTGCTCTGCGTCCCCCGCTGGGCAGGCTCCCAGCCCTGATCCCCCATTAGACGGAGGGCCAAGCAGAATGCAGACTTCGCAAGGCCCTTTCCAAGTTCTGGAGCTTCTTTACAAGCTGCGCTGCACGCACCCATGCAAGCTTCGCCAGCGCTGTGCAACTCTGGCTCCTGACACTCGAACCTCTCGCCAGGAAAGCGAGGGGGTAAATTATTAAACGCAGGACCGGGGCCTGCACCACATTTTCTAATGGCAAAGGCAGGCTGGACAATGGAGGGGAAAGATGTGACAACTGCCTGGGGCACAGTCCCCTGGGAGCTGTGTTCAGTCAGGGGGTCAGGAGACCAAGCACCCCTCCTGCCTGACCACGAGCACCTGCCACAGGGCCAGCTGCTTCCCACCCGCTCAGCGACTCTGGTCAAAGGTCACTCGCTCCCCAGAGCCGACTGGGTGAAGGCAGTACCCGAGGCGGGGCCCAGCATGTGGCGCCCCCAGAAGTCAAAACAGCGCGGCACAGGGCCGCACGGGGCTCCCACACTCGCGGGGCCCAGGAGCTGACAATGTGTTCTTGTCTGCTGCTCCAAAACACCTCTCCTGCCATCCCAGTTCACAATCGCTGTGAACTGGAACGAAATGGGTCCTGGCTGGTGTGGCTCCGTGGAGGGGGTGCTGGCCTGCACACCAAAGGGTTTCGGACCAGGTCCCCACTAGGGGGCATGTGAGAGGCAACCACTCATTGGTGTTTCCCTCTCTCTCTCCCCCTCCCTTCCCTTCTCTCTCAAAATAAATAAGATCTTAAAAAAGAAGAAAAAACTTCAATGAAATGCTCTTTTGATTCTTTGAGGGAATAAACTAGTGGGTAACTGGGAAAAAAAAGAGATTCCCCCCAAATCATCCCACTTTCCTGTTCATTTCTTAGGGGGATCACCTTCCCCTCATCTCTCCTCCGATGCTTTTCTTGCTCCAGGTATTAAGGTCAATGAGGGACACGAGTTTGAGAGCTAGGAGACCATTCTGAGTGTCAGGTTTGCTGGAACTCCCATCCTTGGGGAAACTAGGATTACCACACTCCAAAATAGCTTAATTAATTTAAAATAAAAACGAGGCTGGATACTTACTGCAAGTGTATCTAACGCATCAACCAGGGTCAGAGAGTAGTTCCCCAGGACGTCGTTGATGTTCAGATTGGAACTGAAAGAGAAACAAAGTAAAGTTCAACAAAGATGCTTTATTTTAAGAGAGGAAAAAAAAGACAGTAAAATACAACATCTCTCAGAAACTAAAACTGTGGCCGACTCTCCTTACGATTCGGGGGAGAATCAGGGTGGGGAAGGTCCTGCTCGCTCACAAGTCCAGCTTTTACAGTGTCTGCAAGTTGAACCAAGTCCCAGAACAGCCGAGACAACTTCTACCACGGGGGGAAGGAGACCCAACCGGAGCCGGCAGACGTGACAAGTCACCTGCCGCCTCTGGGACGCACCCTCATCGCCCCGAGTGATGTGTCTGCTCAGCGCCAGCAACCTGCGACTCTAAAACCAGTAGGAACGTGGGGCGGAAAGGGAGAGCCCTGCCCCACGCCTGCCCCACGAGCGCGCGACTGCGGACGTCGCCCACTCTGCCCCAAAGCGGCACGTCCTCCGGGGCGGGCGGCCTCCGTCCCCCTCCTCGGTCCTTGGGCTGGGGCAGTCCATGAGCTTCTTCATCCCGTGTGTCGCTACTGCCTCGCCCAGAGTCCCTTGGCCCCGTGGATTCTGGGATGGGCTGTAACAGGAGCCGCCACACACCTCCTGCTCCAGCCGCCTCCGCCCCCACCGACGGGCTCCGCCCCCACCGACGGGCTCCGCCCCCACCGACGGGCTCCGCCCCCACCGACGGGCTCCGCTCCCTGAAGCCACCGGAGACCAGGCCCAGGCCTGCAACCAGGGCGAGGCTGCTCTGGCACTCTGGTGGGTCTCCTCCGTAACACTGACTGTGACAATGACAACAGCTCGGGCACCCCGGAAGGGCAGGGAGGGAGAAGCAGTGAATGTCATCTGGGCAGCCCGACAAGTTCTGGGGCGGGGGGTGGGGGTGGGGGTGGGGGTCAGGGATCCTCTCCCCACAACCCAGGGCTACCGCAGGATCGCAAAAAGCTGAGAAGGGGAGAAATACGAGGGCATTCACAGGCCAGAGTGACAGCCCCAGTTTTAGGGTCGTCGGTATTCTGGCATCTTCCGTCAACCCTGGACCACTCTCTCTGCCCCTTGGGATGCTCTAGTGTGTCCTTGTCCCGCTGTCTTGGCTGGACTGATGGCCTTACAGGGAGCACGTGGCAGCTCGACATGGCAGGCGCCTCTTACCTTCCGGGGCCTCCTGGTCGTTTTATGCTGTTATGCCCCTTAATCTGGGACAAAGCCTAAAGAGCAACATTTTAGGTCCATTTTTTAAAAAACAAACTATGTAGAAGGCTCCAGAATGGGGGCTGTCTTGTGTCTCACAAGCCATGAAGGCACAGGGCTGAAAAAGCTCCCTTCCTGCCTCTTCTGTTTGTCCATTCTTTTTTTTTTTAAAGATTTTATTTATTTATTTTTAGAGAGAGAAGAGGAGGGAAGAAGAAAGAGAGGGAGAAAAACATCAATGTACAGTTGCCTTGTGCGCCCCCTACTGGGGCCCTGGCCTGCAACCCAGGCCTGTGCGCGACTGGGAATGGAATCGGCGACCCTTTGGTTCGCAGGCCTTTGGTTTGCAGGCTGGCGCTCAGTCCACTGGGCCACACCAGCCAGGGCTGTGCATTCTTTCTAAGTAAATGTATGGAACTGCAGAAGGCCCTCTGCAGACGAGAGCTCTGGGCTGGAGTGAGCGCCGCGAGGGTGCTGCCGCCAGAAGGCGCGCAGGAGCTGTGGGAGCTGGAGGAGGGCACAGTAGGCAGGGGCAGCCTCACACTCCGCCCGGCCGACTCCAGGCTCTGCTGGGCGTCCACACTGAACCACAGGGCCCTGCTGCTCAGAAAGAAGAAGAGGCCTCCACCCACCCACCCAGCGAAAACAGCTCTCCCACCAGCGAGCACCCAAGCCGGACAGTGAGCCGATTGCAGGGGCTGCCCGCGCCGCCTGCACAGCCGTGGGGGGCGTTACGAAGCAGGATCGCTGCGCCCCTTCCCACGTTTCACTGCGCCTTTCCTCTCGGGCTATAGCTAAAAGGGGCCCAATTTTAAAATGCCTTTCGATGCAATGCCCGAGCAGTGGCCAACAATGAATGACTGCACGCGCCGCCGTGGCAAACGCACTCGTGGCCTCACTCAGTCAGGCGGATCCGCTCGAAGAGCCCAGGTGGTCATTAAAGCACTCGTACCTCTTTTCTGTCCAGTAATTGCTCTACACGCTTTCAAAATGTGCCCAAGTGGAAAAAAGAATAACAGGGAGGGGAATGAAGAAACAAGTAGGCTCCATAAAACCCTCTTGGCCTAAACCACCAAAGTATCCTGAGTCCACTTATGCCCAACCACAGCGTTGGTGAGACCGCGCACTCGCTCTGCATAGAGCCTCCCGAGCAGCGGCCGGCCTGACTCGATCCCGTCTAAGTGCTGTGGGTCCAGAGATCCACCTCCTAGGGCAGGGCTGGGCCCCGAGGCCCACGCCACGCTGGCTGGCCACACCGCGGCGACGCCGACCCAGCCCCCCACTTCACGACCCTCTCCCGCTATGAACCGTTCAGGGCTTCTCACCCCAAAACAGAGACCACGCAAGAGACTATGGCCTTTGATGGAAAATTTTTTGATCACATTGTTAATGAAATCAAATGTGTGTAAAAACATTTCCCATGTGCACTTAACCCGTACCAGCAGCTCAGAAGTCTGTCTGGTGCTGGGCGGGCACAGAGGGGACCCGAGGAACAGTCCTGTGCTCAAGAGACAGGTGGCCTGGGGAAACGGGCCACGGGAAGGAGGCGTGGAAGCTGGGGTGGCAGCTCAAAGGGGAGGAGTCCGAAGGAGGACGGAGTCGGTCAAGGAAAACCACCTTCAAACAGGTCAACTGGGCCGCGAGGACGACTTGGCCTGACCTGGAGGGAGGACAGGATCCGAGAAAGCGCGAGGAATGTGGACGAGACCCTCTCGGGCCAGGGGTGCCCAGGAACGACTTGGTTCAGGGGTTCGTTAGTTTGAGATTTGCTTTTTTGTTTGAATAGCAACAGGTTGGGAGAAAGCAAAGAAGAATCTCGTGCCCGATGCCTGAAGCATCACTATTCACAGGGTGGCAAAATTGTAATATCCAATTTACTTGAAGGAGCTTTGTGTTGTTTTTTTTTTGTTTTTCTATTTTTTGTTTTAGATTTTATTTATTTATTTTCCGATGGGGGTGGGGAGGGAGAAAGAGAGGGAGAGAAACATGAGTGATCGTTGCCTCTCGCACGCCTCCAGCCAGGGATCTGGCCGGCAACCCAGGCCTGTGCCGACAGGGAGCCGGACGGCGACCTTTCGGTTCTCAGGCAGGTGCTCAGTCAGCTGAGCCGCACCAGCCAGGGCTTGAAGGAGCTTTGAATTTGGACCCTCCAACCCAAACTGGGGATGTGAGAGGAAATGACTTTGCATAACAATCTGTAGCTGGACAGAAAGACTTGCTATTTTTAAAGAGTTCAGGTTATATTTACTTCATGTTAACCACTCACCCTACCACTAGTCAAATAAGATGGCGAGATAAGCCTTGAGAAAATGTGACTAGAAAAAAAAAACCACACACATGTTCAGCGGCCGTATTTTGGTTCTGGACCTTTTAAATAATATTCGAACAGCTCTGCCACTCTATGTTTTAAAAGGAACCCTAAGAATACATTTGACAGCAGTCATTGGAACACATTTGATTTTTTAAAGTAGCTGAAAGATTTCTGTCACAGGGTATTTATTTTGGAGAGCAGAACGCGCCCTGTTGTTTCAGAGCCAGAACGGCGAAGCTTAGCTAAACATTACTTGAAAATACTGAAGTCTGGGAGGAGTGCAGGTAGAGGAAGGGGCCTGAGCAAAGCCCACCTTGCCACTGTTCAGACAGGCCCAGTGGCAGGGGCGACTCAAGGCCCCCGTAGCCTGGGCTTTTTCACCTCCTCAAAGACGCCAACGCCAACCCAGATGCCACCGCCCTTACACGCCACCCTTCCTATGGCCTACGTGTCTCAAAGCGCCCTAACCTCACTCTACGCAGAATGGCTCTGCAGAGCGAAACCCAAACACTGGCGAGTGGGCCCCCCCTGAACCCAAGGCCTGTGCTGCCCAGGGCCCAACAAGCGAGCCGGCTGCCCGCTCCCCTGCCCGGCGAGGGGCTCCGGGTCTCCAGGGTTCTCGGACGCATTAGGGAACGCACAGAAATGTCACCAACTCACTCTCCAGACTGCGGGAGTGCCACCCGAGCGTGCTACACATCACAGGTCGTCATTAAACTTTGTCCTCAGGTCCCCGCCACAAAGGAAGGCAGAGAGAAAGTCTGTGACAGGCAAGAGGGTCCTTTTGAACGTGTCCTGTCCCTTCTTGTAACCCCATGAGCACAAGACAGAAAATACTAAACTCCAAAACATGCACACATGCTTTGATTTCAACTCTGCAGAGGACGCGTAGGCGCAGTGGCAGGGGCTGGTAGGAAGGCCAGTTAAAAATAGCTGTCTGGTGGCATTTAAGGCTTTCGTTTTCCAAATTTTAATTTTTCACAAAAAATTAAGATCAAAAGAAAATATATAGGTATAAAGTCCCATAGAGTTAAGCAAAAACAAATAACTCGTTAATTCTCACAATTTGGAAAGGCCCAGTACTTTTTTTCCTCCAAAATTTAATAAAGCTTTCCCTTAAAAAAAAAAAAAAGAAAGAAAATACATTTAAGTGTATAAAGACTGATAGAGAAAAGCGAGAAAAAGCTCATCAGTTGGTCCAATTTTGGAAAGGCCCAGTCCTTGGAAGTCAACCTGGGACGTGACCACGTGTCCCTGAAAATCATGCTCTCAAACTGCACCATAACATGTGGACTTGTAGAGAAACAAACTGTTTTAAAAACCCTTCAAGCCTCTTCAGGCTCCTTTTCAAACCTAAGGATCGGACTGGCTGCTTTTCACCAGGTGAGGAAAAACCTGTGCGGAAACGTCCAAAGGCACCCACAGGGCGTGGTCGCGAAGGACCGAGCAGCCCATCTCCTCAGCTCCCACCTCGGGGTGGGGGACCCGGAGGGAGGCAGGCAGTCACCTGTCTGGCCCAACAGGGTGAGTGACAAAGCACACCTTCCCTCCGGGGAGGAGGTCCTTAGCTGGGCGTGTCGTCCTCTTGGACTCTGAGGTCAACCGCGGTAGCCCCCGAAGCGCAGCCTTCACAAACAAGGCTGGTGGAAGGCGGAACTGGCCGGTGGAGCTGGGGACTTAGGGGACGGACACAGAGGGCAACGCGGCGACAGTCACCTCAGCGGCCAAGGAACCGCACCCTGAGTATCAGGACCCCAAACCTGGGCCAGATGGCCCCTCCCTGCTACCTAAGTATCTGCTGCCCAGCAAGCAGCCCCGTGATGAAGGAGAAAGGGTGTCGCTCCGCTCTACCTCAAACTCCCTGCGGGGCTCTGCGGAAGTCCCTGCCCGGGGTCAACTCCTGGATTTTTATATTTTTAGACAGAAGAGCCAGGGGTAGGGGTGGCTCCCGATAAGGGCTTATTTCGAAGCTGCGTTTACAAGAGATTTCATTTCACTCTATGTTCATCTGAAGACGGGCTCCAGATGGGAGCCCAAAGCCCCCCAAGTCACCTCTTGGCACTGCCACGGTCCCTTCCGGGCCCCGGGCCTCAGTTTCCCCATCCGTAAAAGGGGCTGCGCTGGACAGCCGTCCTGTAGTTCCTGATTCCGGGAGAATGAAGAAAGAGGACAGCCTCCGGCCCATCCAGGCGCCGCCAGCCCGGGGGGCCTCACGGGGACCCGCCGAGGCGGCGCGGGCGCCGGGCTTCCGGGGCACCGGCAGGCAGAGGGCGGCCCGGGCGCGGAGGGCTACTTACGGGTCTCCGCGGTCAGGCCCGCGGCCGCGGCAGTCGATGGGGTTGAGCTCGTCCTGCGGAAAGGCGTGCGCCATGTAGTTGTCGTAGCCGAAGACGAACATGCCCCGCGCCAGGTCGCGCATCTGGGCGCGCAGCTGCGGCGGGAAGGCGCCGCTGTAGCGCCGCTCGTACTCGTCCGGGCCGCGGCCCCGGCCGCCCAGGACGTCGCCCCAGTGCGCCGGGCCGCACACGCCCGGCCGGGGCCGCCGCGGCGCCCGCTGCCGCCCCGCCGCCGCCCCGGGCCCCGGCGGCTGCAGCCACGACGGCCCCGTCGGCCCCTCGGGCGTCCCGAGCCCAGGGGCGGGAGACGCGGGGCCGTCGGGGCCCGTCAGGCGCTGGAAGCCGAAGCTGAGAGGGAAGCGCTGGTAGAAGCCCATGCTGGGCCCCAGCCCGAAGACGAGCCACAGCGCACCGTGGAGGCCGAGTCGCAGGAGCAGCAGCCCCAGGACGAGCGCTCGCCATTGCATGGTCGCGCGGACGCCGCGGGCATCCTCCCAGCGCGCGGGGCCTCCCGCCGCCGCACCCGCGCCGCCCGCCGCCTCGCTTGCTTCCCCTTTAAGGAACTCCGGGCTGACGCACCAGGAACCGGCCCATTGTCTCCCGCCCCCGGGCCCTCCGGCCTGGCCCGCCAGGCCTCGCGTTCGCCCGCCCGGCCGCCCGGGATTGGCCCGGCCCCCCAGCCTCGAGGGGCGCGGCGCTCTGCCTCCCGCGCCATAGGCCGCCCGGACGTCCGCAAGCCCGCCCGCTCCGCCCTAGGCCACGCCCGGCAGGGCCACGCCCCCGCACTTGGCTCCACCCCTGGGCGGTCCGGAGTCCCGACGGGCTGGCGTGGCGAGTAGAGGCCGCTCAGGCTCCGGGCGACGGAACTTCCAGCCAATGGGAGCGCGGCACGGGAGCGCCCGCGGGTCGCGGAACACAGACGTGGCCCGGACCCGCCGGGCGGAGCCGGGACGGGCAGAGCCTCTCCAGCTGTAGGTCAGGGGTGGTGACAGTTAAAATACGTAGGGAAAGAGGAGGGACGGGGACACATCTGTGTAGAAGGAGCTACTTTGCATAGCGAGGGCAGAGGTTAAAAAATTTTTTTCAATTGCAGTTGACTTTTGATATTATTTTATGTTACTTCCAGGTGTACAGCATCAGGATGGTGTGGTTAGACAGTCATATACTTTATAAGGCGTCCCCGCCCCGATATTTCCATCTGACACCATACGTAGTTATTACAATATTGCCTGTATTTCCTATGCTCTACTTCACATGCCCGTATTTTGTATCTACCGGTTCCTATTTCTTAATCCCGTCACCTTTTCCCCCAGAAGGGCAGGGTTTTTAACTTGCCTGTTCATAATGGGGGCAGGATACTACCATTTAGCTCCAGATTGCGCACAATGGTATCCTGAATTGTGCTCTTTTAATTAGAACGCTCTAATTTGTAAGAAGCTCTCATATATTGTAAAATACATGTTCCCAGGTCCGGTCCCGGGCCAATCAAACTCCGACGGAGGCTCCTGGAAATATGTGTTAACAAGTGCTCTTGGGCGATTCTTGGCATCTGGCAATTTCAGGAAATACTGAGTTATGTTGTTGCCTTTGTCTCGAAATTCGGTCTCCAAACAGGAGCGGGGGGGCGGGGGCTGGAGGAGTCAAGACTGGTACCGCCCCCGAATGAGCGCTCCCAGATCCATGGCACCAGGGCCGCTCCCGCGCCTCCCACTTGCCCTTCTCTCTCCCGTGCACCGCCGCAGGAGCCCAGCCTTTGAGGCGTGGGCTAGATTCCCGATCAGATCACTCTACCCCTCACCCTGAAGGGCAGTGGCTTTTAGGTAAACATTCCACACAGGATTTTGTTTTCGTTTGTTGGCTGCCTTTGGTGATGTCTGCTAAGGTTTGTGCTCAGTCAATTTAGACCATGTGCCTGTTATGCCAGGTTCCTGAGAAGCTTGGGAAGCGAGGCCTGTGGGGGGGCCCACGTCAGAGACTGGCTGAGTGACCGGGGAGCGGTTAAGGGGGCGGCGGAGTCCTCCTGCGGGACACTCATCACACTCTCACGGGGCTCTGCCAGACCAGGGAGGCGTAATGCAGACTGGGAGGGGACCCAAAGAAACATTGAGTTACAGCACAAGGTCTAGTGAAAACAAATCTCTTTTCATAACCCCAAATTACCCAAATTGGGAAAGATGCTTTTGATGGTAAAATCGGCAATAGCTGCCAATTGTACACATCCTGTGGTTTCCAAAATATTTCACTTGTGTTTTCATTTACTCTTCACAGAAAACCTTGTAAGGCCTATTCTGCATGCCGTAAGGGAAGAAATCACGTGGGCAGCTCAAGTCCTCAGAGCTAATTGGCTCTTGGCAGAAAAAGAGCTACTGCCCAGGTCCCACAGGGTTCCCGGGAAACTGACTACTAGCTGGCCCCCAAGGCAGACGGCCTGGTCTAGCTGCTCTTCCCAACCACTCCCTGGGCGACACCTTTGACATCACTGCTCTGCAGGGTGCAGCCTGACTCAGAGGCTGGGGTCAGAACAGTGCTTCCCACCTGAATTCAACTGAACCACATGGCCCTGGCTGGTGTGACTCAGTGGACTGAGTACCCACCTGCAAACCAAAGGATGGCTGGTTCAATTCCTAGGCAGGTCACATGCCTGGGTGGCAGGCTGGGTCCCCAGCAGGGGGTGTGTGAAATGCAACTATACATGGATGTTTCTCTCCCTCTCTTTTCTCCCCCTCTTCCCCTAAAAATAAGTATTTTTTTAAAAAAGACTGTGCCTTCCTAAAAAAACAAAAAACCTGAACCAAATAAAAATGGAGTACCTTGTGCTAGCCCTTTAGGTTAACCTAGAACTCCCTTCAAGGTAAACGTGCCTGATAAGATTGGTACAGCCCCCATATCTAATCAGACAACCCGACTTCCTGAAAAATCAATTCTTTTAAGGAACTCAGCTTGTTTTGTGATAGGTTTTCCTGCACATAATCTCACAAGAACATCTAGGGACAGATAATAAGGTTTAAAAAAACTTCCATGAAACTGAAATGCACTATGGTAAAATGGCTTTACCTGGGCTGGGGGGGTGCCAAAAAGATGATAGCCCCAAAACCCAGACTCGGAAGTGTGATTGCCAGGGGTGTTCAGACCTAGCTCTGCCCTCTGAGTGACCTGGAGAAGCTCTCTGGACCTGTTTGCTCATCCCTAAAACAAGGGTGCCAGGACCGGCACTTGCAGTGCATGCCGGTTGTAGGGCTGAAATTACTTAGCGTAAAGAGTGCACCCACGATGGGACCACGTACCTAGTGAGCCAATGGCCACGACCGTTCAGCTCTGTGAACTCAAGGGCAGAGTCTCGTCAGAGCACCTGGTCCAGATACCCCTGAGGTGTTGGATGAATTACACGGAGCCCCTCTTATTTTCAAAGCACTGTTTGCAGGGGGTGGGGGTGGGCGGGGGATGGGCTTAAGGACAGTGTAAAATAGGACAAGGGCTAAAACTCCATGGTCCAAGAACAGCGGAAAAAAGCTCTGCGTCTTCTAGTCTAATTCCAGTTCTATTTAACTCAACCGATTCCAGCTGGGACACATCACTGTCCTAAATCTCTGTGGTGTGGGGTCCTATCCCAAGTGATCCGAGTTCAAGCTCCCTCTTTGCTGAAGGAGGTGAACTGGCGAGTATGGGTTGCAGCACCTCTGAGATGCCCTCCGCTGTACGGAAATGGGGACACTCCCGTTTTCAGAACCAGTCTCGCGAGTCCAGGCGCGTGAATCGGTGCTCTAGGTCCTTAGAACAGCAAAGCCAGAGGAAGGCTCGGCCCCTACCACGGGTCTCAGAGCATGTATCAAATATCAGGGTTAAAACAGGCTATTAAAAGGAGAAGGCCGTGGCTGATGTGGCTCAGTGGATTGGGCGCCGGCCTGTGAACCGAAAGGTCGCTGGTTCAATTCCCAGTCAGGGCACATGCTGGGGTTGTGGGCCAGGTCCCCAGTTGGGGGCAACTGATCTATGCATCCTTCCCACATTGCTGTTCCTCCCCCCCTTCTCCCTCCCTTCCCCTCTCTCTAAAAGTAAATAATTTTTTTTTTTAAAAAGGAGGAATTTTCCTACTCTAAGAATTTAGAAATAATTTGTTATCCAAAGCAATGTTGTAAAAAACTCAAATTATGTGATGATGGCTTTTAAAACTCGTTATTGTGTCTTTCTGAAGCAATATGCGCTTGCTTTTTAAAAAGGGGGTGATAGACTTAAACAAAAAATTAATAAAAGAGGGGGGGTTCCCTATAACCCCACTATTAATTTGGTGACGATCCAACTCTAGAATTACGGTACCATTTTTCCACAGCTCGGTAAGAGCGCTAAATTGCACATTTGGTTTCAGACTGAATCGTGTATTACCGTTCCCTCCTACTGGGTGGGCAGAAACCTTTAGGTCTGCCAACGCAGGGTTGGTGGGATCCCGGGGTCAGAGGCTGGTCCGAATACAAGCCGGCATGCCTGTGGAGGACGCGTGGCGGCACTCACGGTCAGGATGAGCACGCTCACCCTCTAACCCGGCCATGCTTCTGTGGACGGCTGCACACCACGCCACGACCCGCTGCAGTGCTGCTTACAACGTAAGAGGTTGTAGCCCCAGCGGGCGGGGCTCAGTGGATTGCGCACCGGCCTGTGAACCAAGGGGTTGCAGGTTCAATTCCCGTTTGGGGCACAGGCCTGGGGTGCGGCGCCAGGTCCCCAGGAGGGGATGCGTGAGAGGCAACCACATTGATGTTTCTCTCCCTCCCTTCCCCTTTAAAAATAATAAAAAAAAAAACATCACTCCCCCCGCTGCCAAAGACAGTGGCAAGCTGTCCCCCGGAATCAGCAGCAGCCACTGCCCACTGAGGACTGACGTTGACGACCGGCCTGTCTGTGTGCCCTTAGGTTCCTGAGGCGTCCGGAGGAAGTGGGAGCCGTGCAGATCCCGACTTTCCAGGGCGCAGCGAGCCGGCGCTGCCATGGCAAACGACGGCAAGTCCCGGCCCTCAGGCCGCCGCCAGCAGAAGCAGGAGATACTTCATTCACATGATGGGCAGCGAGAAAGGACAGGCTCTCAAAGCGTAGGCACGGCGGAACGTGCTGTGGGACACAGACCTCCTGGGCTCAGGGTCTACGGCCCCTTGGCGGGGTGCAGAAGAGCTGGCGGGAGGAGAGGGTGTAATTAGCAATCCTTCGTGTTCTCCTTGCCACGTTCAACAGCGAACACTGTTGGCTTTGTGGCCCCCCCCAAACTCTGTCTTCTTTACTGTCAAAGGAAGTAGCTTCTAACCAACGCTCGAGGTTTCTCCAAGCCCCAAATGAATTCTGGCAGACTAGCAACGCAGCAGCTATAAAATGTTCAACATTAGCTCTAAACCACTTAAGCCCAAATTGGTAAATATTTGTCCATACACCAGTACATAGTTCTGCTTTAACTTTTTATTTTTAAGACTTTACGTATTTTCAGAGAGAGGGGAAAGGAGGGAGAGAGGGAAACATCAATGTGTGGTTGCCTCTCCCCACACCCCCTACTGGGGACCTGGCCCACAGCCCAGGCCTGTGCCCTGACTCGGAATTGAACTGGTGACCCTTTGGTTTGCAGGCCAGTGCTCAATGCACTGAGCCACACCAGCCAGGGCTGCTTTAGCATTTTTAAATGGCTTTTAAAATATAAGACGCTCTGCTTGTAGCATTTTCTTCAAAAGCAAGATGATGTTACTGTTATCATTTTGCAAAATGCCTGTGATCTCCAGCCCTTAAATATTTGTGTTCTGGGATATTTTCAAGTGGGAGAAACATGCAACAATATTTACAAGGATAAGTGGGCATTTTCATCTCTCTCTCACCAGCGTCCACATCTCTAGGCTGCCAGACCACAGCCAGTTAGTGGGAGAAATTACTCAGGTATGGATTAGAAACCCAGTGCTTGTCATGTTACAAATGGGAAACTGCGGGGCCAGAGGTGGTCAGAGGCTCACAAGCGGTTTTCACAAGAAAAGCGGCCGGTCTCTCAACGCCCATGGGCAGAGCCAAGCCACGGTAACATTCTCCATCGGCAGCTGGTTTCCAGGACGTCCCTTCCTTTTATGAAAGCCCCAGTGAAACCCGAGGCTGTGGTATTCTCCCCGGCTCACCATCCTGCTGGGAAGCCTGAATTACTCAAAGCACCGCTGCCTGGAGATCTTACCAAAGATTGGGGAGGGGGGGGGCGGCAGTGACTGGGACAGGGAGGTGCAGCTGTGGCTCAGGCTGAAGAGCCTCCCCAGGCTTTGCATCAGAGACCTGCTCGCCTCTGCTTCCCCAGGAGCGTCCAAGAGGAAGCCATTACAAAAGCGCCTGTTTTGATTGACCGCTGAGTTTTAGAGCTAGCACGCGGCGGCTGTTTAAGGGTCCACAGGAAGCACCTGCGGCGGTCTGCGCGCAGTGGTAGGGCCGGCCGTTCCCGTAAGGGAAGTGGGCAAGGCAGGTGTTGCTCTCCGGTGCCCCTTTTCAGTATCTTCACCGAGGACTCAAGGCATTGAGGTCACCACCTTTGAAGTTTGTAACAAAACAAAAACATTTCAAATCCCAAACACAGCGGTTTCCCTGGCACCGCAAATTTGAAGCCAGCTGTTGGGCCCCCGGGACGTCCCAGTTTTGGTGCTGGCCAGGGCGCATCTGAACATCCACTCCAGTCGCAGCGCGCCAGACCTGCTGGGGCTGGAATGGCCGAATCTGCGGGGTCCTAGTGGGACCCTGTCCCACGTGGAGAACGAACACATGGGCAACGACCCCCTCAGCCAAAACAACGAGCGCTCACCGAAGGGGCCCCATCCTACAGTCAGCTCACCTGACAGAGTCAAGCGGACCCATCCCAGAGGTCTCCATTTTCACAGCTGGAGTCCTCAGTAAGAACTCTAATAAGCTGAGCATCAAGGGGGAAGTAAGCTAACTCTACACCCTGCTCCCCCCACCCGCTTCAAGAGTTGCTTGGATGGGAGGGCGGGGAGAACAGCGCTCAACTGAGCGCTCGACTCAACACCCCACCAACTCCAGGACAGGACCGTGACCTGCCGGCTGAGGGCGTCTGTCCCAGGACGCAAAGCCCCGCGCCCAGCTCGCCAGGCGCACAGCTCGGACAGAAAGAAAACGCCAAGCTGAACCTCTCTGAGTGAAAACAAGTACCTTCACTTCTCAAAGAGCTGATGAGGTCAATGTTCACTTTTATAGTGCAAAAGGGCAAAAATGAGCGAAACAGGCCAAATGGTCTTCTTTAGAAATGTCCCGTTGGGGGAAAACCACTAAGTTTAACATTTAAATCTGTTCTTTCTGGAACTGATGTAGGCATGGCTTGCAATTTCAGTTTACCAGCAGAGTTCTGGTATGATTTTGGAAACAAAAATGGATATAAAATGCTGAACTAGCTCTTGCAACTTCAGAAGTCCTCGATTTGGTCAATCATGAGAGTTTACAAGCAGTAGCACCTACGGTACCCACCCTGAAAAAAAAAAAATCACAGTATCAATCACATGGATATCTTAAAAGTTTATTTCTTCTTCCACTAGCCCGGACCCCGCCCTCTGCGAGCTGAGCCGGTGTCTCCCGCGCCCACGGTCTGTGGACACTGCTCATAGGAACGCTCTTCCTCCTCTCCCCGGGAAGCACACGCCTTCCACCACGACACACACGTTTCAAGTTAAAACTGTCAAATACAACCCTCAAAATGCAAGTTTATTGAATAAAGCTGAGAAGAGCAGTAAACAGACGAAAAATGCATCCACCTAAATAAAAAATTCACGTATGTATTTACAAAGTTCAGTAACTGTGAAGTTTTCACATGCAGAGGTTAAACGCACAGGAAAATGGCGGTAGCGGTGTTTGGATGTCTTGAAATGCTGAAAGCAACGGACATACAAACACGTTAAGGTCGAGCTACAGGTCGACTCACGGACCTATGCAGTCCCTACAGTCACACGTTCCAGTTCCGATTCCTCCTTTTAGGCACAAGCAAATTGCCACATTCTTTGTCCTGGTTCACAGTGACCACTCATGGTGCTGAACCACAGCAGCAAGTTTAACTATCCCTTGATTTACAGAACCATCCGCCCCCATCAGGGAGTATGTAACATGCTTCAAAAATAAGAACAGAATTTTAAAAGCTGCGATTCTACTCATAAAAATGTGGCTGGAGAACAAGAAGCAGGGTCCGTGCAGCAGAGCGCAGTCCTCCGTGCAGACCAGCGCCGAGGCCGCGGCCGCCTGTGCGTGGAAGCGGGTGCTCGCGAAGGACTCGCTGCTGACCGCACGCTGAGCGTGCAGCACAGGCCACACGAGTGCTGCTGGACCAAAGGATCAAAACCTGGGGGTAGGAGGCCACCCGGAAGCGGGAAAGCCACGCTCTCGCCTACTGCCCTGGCCAACGTGAGCCACAGCTTACGGTGGCCCGGCAGGAGCGCGTCCCGTCACGGGCATGGAGGCCACTCGACTACAGAGCAGGCTCGGCTGCTTTGCCATCTCCGTCTCACAGGCGTCAGCGGCCCACAGCCGCAGACCCTCAGCTCTGTGTACCACTGACTCTGCCCCAACCTGCAGACACACTGCGGGATCACATTCGGTAAAGCAGGCAGGTCTAGAGTTGTCACGATAATCAAGATGTCTAATGGCACCAAGCAAAAGGGTGCCAAACTTTATGTCAGTAAGAGAGAAAAGAATTTTTTCTGTGTTAAGTATCTGTTGTGCTGAGAGTCAACTTTATGGCTGGATATAAAAAGTCAGGAGTTAAGAGTGTCGTGCAGCTGCACCGATACAAATGATTGGAGATAGAAAGAACCAAGTCTGACATTCTTAACACGTTTTATTATATTGGCCGGAATGCTCTAAATTCATGAAAGCTTTTGAGGAATTCTTCAATTTCCAACTCCTTAAAAAAGTGTGTTGAACCAGCAAAACAAAACAAAAAAAAAAGGAGAAGAAGAAAAAGAAAAAATAGAGAAGTGATGGTCTGGACAGATATAAAACAGCACGCCCTACTCAGCTCCTCCCATGTCCCGGCTGCTCTACGGTGATGAAGAAGTCTCAGAAGGCAGCAGGTTTTAAAACTTCATCACGTAAGGTCTCACCCATGTAAAGAACCAACAACACTGATCTGGCGCCTCTGCTCACTCCTTGCAGGCCGTCTTTAAAATTCCTAAGGCGTAATTAGACATTTCACATGCATTGCTGGGTGATGGAAACATTAGGTTTATACCCCACACGACTCAGCTAAAGGTTCTCTAAATACTGTGTGTGGCACTAAAAACTTCATGCTGTATCAAGTCAGTACCAGTGTTAAGCTACTAGACTCTATAATGAAATACCATAGACAGACGTTTACCAAAAACCAATATAAAAATCTGGCCCAGAAAGACCAGAACAGAAATATGCAATTTTCTTGATTTAAGATGGTCAAAAGTCATGTTTTTTTTTTAAAAAAAGCTCTACACACTGTTTAAGACAAGTATGTGTAAGAAGCCTTTGTGTGTGTGCTGACTACCATGACGACGCTAGCTGACTCTTTATGAAGGGTTAGGTACACACATCTTCAGCAGTGCACATGAGAAATAAACTCTGAAAAAGGCAATGTCTTGGGTGTAGGAAGGACCGTGTTCTGGGAAGTACTTCAGAGGAACGGACAGTAATTGCAGGGTTACAGCCAGGAAGGACTGGAAGACTTCAGGAGATGCTTTTCAGCTTCTTCTGGATTTTGAGTGTTGAATAAGCCACTGAAGTGTGATATCTAAAGATGGAGGGAAAAAAAGGCATTAAGATATCGAAGTCCAAAAACTGAACATCAGAGAGAACACTTAAAACGCAGCTAACTCACAGCACGTGGGGCCCGCCTGTCCCGCCACCCAGGTCTCCCGGGGCCACCCGCGGAGTGATGGCCAGAGACACTTAAGAGTGCGGCTGTGCGGAGCATGCTGTGCCACCTCGCACTCGTTCGTAAATTCACGGCCTGCCGACGAGACTGGGCATGGCACGCGAAGAGCCAGACATGCAGACCCTCTGCCCTGGGTGCGCTGCTGGTACCATGGCCGGGAACACACCCGTGTTCACGGGGGGGCTGGGTGCCACCCCCAGAATGCTGGGCGGAAGGAGCCGCGCGGAGGTCTGGGTGGACTGTCAGTGTCCCGACGCGGCTGAAGCGGAGGGGCAGTGAGGGGCGCCACTCACTGCTGAGGCTGGAGCAGGGGTTCCCATGGACCCTTCTGCCGTCTGGGGCTGGTTAACTCTTGGCTGGGCAGGGAGGAGGCCGCCCTCCTGTGCACAGCGGGGAACTGTGCGGCACCCATGACCTTTACACCACATGCCATCACCGCCATCCTCCCTCAGCTGTCACGTCCAGTGCTATCTCCAGACGTTGCCAAATGTCCCCTGGTGAGCAAAACTGTCCTCAGCTGAGAACTGCAAGGCTAAGGAGCCAGGAACCTTGTATGCCACTGTAAGGTGCTAGGGAATTTGGATTTTATTCTCAAGTCAACAAGTTATTGGAGAATTTCCAGCAGGGAAACTGTACCAGTTTATTCAGTAAGATCAAAAGCGGCGGCAGAGGCACCTGGAGGGCCGCCAGTCTAGAGACTACTGACGGGGACAGAGCGGGAGCGGTGACAAGGGCCCGAAGCCAGTTGAGTGCCGTGGGGGCGTGGAGGGGGCCAGCGGGCAACGCCATTAAGATGCAGGATGACAGGCGCTGGTGACTGATCAAGTGCGGTGGGTGGGAAAGGACCTTCTGGTCTCAATGACTGTGTCACAGAGCTGCTGAGTGACTCGGTGACGAAGGAAGAGGAGGCTTGAAAAAAAGATTTAAGAGTTCAGCCGTAGGCACGTCAAGCCTGAGGTGCATGCAGAAGGCAACAGTCACAAAGGTGCCGACAGGCAGGTCTGCAGAAGAGAGGGGGACCCGCGGGAAATGCCCCACAGGTGGCCCGAGAAGATGGCCTCCGAGATCAGCCAGGAAAAGCCCTCAGGCTGAGAAGATCCATCAGCTGCACCAGAACACTGAACTGCTGCCCGAGTTTGTCCAGGCGCACCGGCCGGGCGACGTGGGTGCGGGCACCTGTCAGAGCAGCGCCCCGCCCCGCCCCGCCCCTGAGGACGAGGGCGAGCCCCCTCGCGCAGGTCCCCGCCTCACTCGCATCAGAGGCTGTACGCGCGCACTGCCCAGCACAGCCGCACTGCCCAGCACAGCCGAGGGGCGGGTGGGAGCCAGCGCGGCCGACCGTGTGCCAGGGGCAGAGCCGCACTCATCTGAACTCAGCGGGGAGAAAGGGGAAGCTGAAAGCGAGCCGACCAGGGTCAGGCACTGCAGAAACTCACTTAAAAGAAAAAAAATCTCGTGGACCCTGGACAAAGGGATCCTTAAGAACGGATAGAAAGGCAGACAGGAAGTAAGACTGCCATCTTCCACAACAGTAAGGGCTGCAGCTCAGCCGTCTTGGCAAAGACCCTCCTCCCGGAAGTGACCTGTTCTGTGTGTGGTCTAAGGACACAGGGCCAGGGAAGTGCTTCCTGTGCCACGTTAGGGAACTGGAAGGGCAAGAGGCGAGATCATGTGCACTTTTGGGAGCAATTTAGTAAACTGATAAATTTGATACTAAAATATGCCATAAAAGCTAAAATTAAGAGGAATGTTCTGACTTGAAGACCCAAGAAGTCTAAGCGACTTGGCTGTTCGTTGTAGCTCTGCTTCCAAAAAGCAGACACGCCGACTCACGGGCTCCTTGGCTTGAGTCTAGTGGAGAGCGCAGCTGCCTCCCTGGGGCTCCGCTGGCTGCGGAGCCGCACAGCTCGTGGGGTGGGGGCGGGGGCGGGGGGGGTCCTCGCCAGCTCCCCGCCTGCGCCGCACACACGAGCCCAGGAGACTCTCTTCAGGGAGTCTCTGGCTAGTTCATCATGGCTGATAAAACAAAGCATTTTTTTTTTCATTTCAAAAATGCCCCCTCTATTTCAGGAAGCAGTAAACACGCGGGAAGCCTGGGCTTACAAAAGAGCACACTGTGTGGAAGGTGAGGCTGCCGCGGACCAGGGCTTCTCAGCCTCGTCCCCGACCTTTGAGGCTGGACGGGAGTTTGCTGTGGGGTCTGCTGGGCGCTCACAGCATCACATCTCTGGTCCCTGTCACTAGACGCCAGAATCACCTTCTTCACGTGGCAGCCCAAACACATCTCGAGGCATGGCCAGCCCTCTCCGGTGGAGCCCTTGCTGGGACCTGCTGCTGCGTAAGCACGTGCTCTCTTGGAGGCGCAAGTTAAAATTTGACAAGAGTGTCCCCCCGCATAGGGGAAAAAAAATTAAAAGTCAACTCTGTGTCAACTTAAATACTTGAATAGTCTGTTCTCAAATTACCTGGATGTAGCTCCAATGTAACAAGCCACTTACTCTACCCATTTAGTAGAGGCGAACTTGTCCACTGGCAAAGCACCGGGCTCGGATTGCTCTGCACGGTCTTTCAAGGAAGCCCAGCATCAGCCAGAAAAACTATCAACACTCTGAGCTCATGTTTAGGAGGCTGAGGAAGGAGCTGAGATACAGACTGGAAGTGGCTTGGGGGAAAAAGTGAAGTATGATGAGAACCAATATTGAAATGAGGGATAAAGGAAAAATAGCAGAATATCTTTAAAGCGCACTATTTTGGCACTATTCATGGGACTTTATTTCAGTACACTTTTGCTTATTAAACAATCCCTTAGCTATTTTTTAGTTAAGAGATGAAAATTGAGCCCTACATACTTATTCTCCAAGGACTCTGGACTGAACAGTGTCCCCTAGAACTTCACGTCCACCTGGCACCTTAGGGTTTACTTGGAAACAGGGTCTTTGCAGAGGTAACCAGTTTCAGTTGAGGCCAGGCTGACCCAGCTGGGCCCTAACCCAGTGGTGTGTCCTCGTGAGAAGAGCAGACAGACATGCGGAGGTAGGTGCAGAGGCGGTGGCCACGGGAGGCTGGAGGCAGACCCTCATGACGTGCGCGTGGGCCCGGGTGAGCCCAGGACGTAGGGGAGGTGAGGCCCCTCCCTGGGCCCCGGCCTGCACCTCCATCTTGGACACCCGGCCTCCTGCCCTTGAGAGAACGCACTGTTCCACGCCGCCCAGTTTGTGGCACTTTGCTATGGCAGTCCTAGGGCGTCTGGGCAGACGTTGAGTAGGTAAAAGGTATTTTGGGGTTTCTTTCTCCAACAGAGTGATAACACAGTTTAGTAATATACTGGCTCCATAGATTAAAAGTTGTTACAGTACCTACGGACCAATTTTTGTAAGGCCTTATTTCAAGAATGTAACTCTGTTATAAAGCACAGCTGGACACCAGCTCTGTGAAAAGTAACACCATAAACTGATATCCCGTCTGCTTAACTTCGCGCCTCTACTTCATCTGCTTCTTGACGCAGCGCAGACCAGATTCAGGGTGCAGCGCGGAGGCTGGAGGGTGTGCCGGCTACTCTTCTCCCTCGGGCAAAAGCAGCCGCACTCTGAGCAGGAGGTCACTTAGACAGAAATGGGGGAATAGACAGAAACCTCCAGTGACAGCCCTTCCTTCCAAAACACCTGTCATTTCTTACCTATATTATCCTTTTCTTTGCAAGAAATTGAATAGCAGCAGATTTCTCTATCCTGAATAGCAGACAGGTTCCTGTAAGAAGCAGAATGAAGAGGGTAAGTCTGTGTTGAAAATAGCTGTTTCATTTGTCATTCTTTGCTCAGTGTTACTTGCATTTTCGTTACTGAGCTGAAGGGGCTGTTTCATTGCTCCCTCCTCCACGGGCTGAGTCTGTCCACCTAAAAGCATGGCCAGGCCAGCCCTGGCTCATGCGCTGCATCACGACGCGGAACAAAGGGGTGGGCGAAATAGCACATTCAGAACCGATTAAAAAAAAAAAACAACCCATCATTCATTCAAAGACGTACATTTTTTCAATGAGTTGTTTCTCATCCAAGGCATTAGGAAGATCTCTCTTGTTTCCAAGGACTAGCACCTTTAAAAAGAAAAGATATTAAGAGTAAACATAACATGAGAGCATGTCCCAGAAGCATATCATATTCATCAGTGTAGATGTTCAAATGAGAAGGCTGCCCTGGCTGGTGTGGCTCAGGGGGCTGGGCGTCATCCCGCAAACCGAAAGGTCACACGCTTGATTCCCATCAGGGCACATGCCTGGGCTTCGGGCCAGGTCCCCTGCTGGGGCACGTATGAGAGGCAGCTGATTGATGTTTCTCTCCCTTTCTTTCTCAGTCCCTTCCCCTCTAAAAATAAATAAAATTAAAAAAAAAAAAAGAATGTTGCCACAAGGCACAATGTTAAAGCATTTTTGTGTAACTGGTGGTTGACCTCATTTCATCAAATTAGCATTCACTTTTGATTTCTTCCACGTAGATGCCCTTTAACCAGTATGTGGCTGCCAACTTCTACTCAAACTATTCTAGGTCTATGGTGTGTGTTCTGCTATCTCTTTTAATTGACTGATTTGAGAGGGGGTGGGGGGAGAGAGAAACACTGATGAGAGACAGACGCCACCCCCCCACCCCCCGGCCCACCACGGCCTCCCGTGCGCAGCCCACCCAGGGCCAGGGCCCGCCACCTGCCGGCGCACAGGACGGGCTCTAGCCGCCCTGCCACGTCCTGCCCGAGTTCCTGATACTACACCGTATGCGTCTGCAATCAGCTGTTGGTGCTGGGCTGGCACCTTAGCCCTCTTCCACATTCAGGAACCTCCCACCTCCGGACCCTGCCCCCCAGGAAAGCTACTTGCTTTGTAGGTAGTTCTCCCCCAGCTGTGGCTTCCCGTCTGCCACAGCCCGGACAAGAACCCGGGGCCCACACACACCGACTGCAGAGCCAGGAACGCAGGAAAGCGGGCGGGGCAGACCCGTTCCGACGCGAGCGCAGCACCCTGTCCGTTCTAACGAGGGGCCTGCCAGCGCCCGCCCAAGACCGACTCCCGCTCGTGGTCCCCAGACTAGCTTTTAATGGAGAAGAAAAAATCAGACATGGATTCAAAACCTGGCTGAGCGACAGACTGGGGGCCACGTGGCCTGAGCAACACCTGTGACAGAGGAGGAACACCACCCCCGACTCCCTGTTGTGAGGATCAGCTGAGGGGACACACCCGAGTGCCTGACTCCCCTGCGCTTGTTGGGAGGCCGGAGCTGGGCCCTTGGCCAGCACGCCTTCCACCTCAGCACGCAAGCCAGGAACGAGGGACTGCCCCCGACACCTGCCTTCCCACCCACGCCCGGCCGGAGGGGCGTGTTCCTGAACGTCGCTAGCACCTGTTCCTGTTTCACCATCCTGTCTCCCGCCATCTTCGTCTGTGCTGCTGCAATGGGTCAGGACAACGTCAACAGTTTCTAATACTGTCTTGTGCTCCTGCAATCTACTCTTACACTGAACTCATGATTTAAACAATACATCCAGTTGCTTAAAACACTGCAGCAGTTTCCCGCCCAGTCTCGCTGACTCAGCGGCCCCCTCCAGAGCCCCCAGAGCTGCGTGGCTCGCCCCCTGCCCTCTGTCCTGTGCCTCCCCTCCGGCCCCACTTCCTCCTGCCAAGGAGCCTCCTCCATCTGGGCCGCTCTCCCTCCACACAGCGCTCCCGCCTCAGCTGGGGCACCGCCTCCTTCTCGGTCTCCCTGCTCCCCTCCAGCCCCCCCACCGGCCCCCAGCCAACGACTCTCGCAGCCCAGGCTCCCCTCCCACGCAGCACTGATCTGCGTGCCACCCGTCCAGGGCTTCAGGCCCCCCGCTCCCACTGGACCACCGGCTCCACGATGCGCCGTGTCGCCCACTGCCCCAGCGCGGCGCGCGGCCCTGCTGCACACAGCTTAGCAAAGGGCTGGCGGACAGGGGCAGAAATAGCACAGCGTCCACGGCACGGCACGGCACGGCAGGCGTGCAGGCAGCGTCAGCCCTCCAGGCTTCAAAACAGACGGCCTTCCACTGACAGCGAACACAATCAGTGTGATGGTATACTATCACACGCTATCACACACTATCATTTAGTTTTAGTAATACGATAAATTACAGATATTATACATACTGTAAAAGAACAAGCACTCTGTACTTACTGGAATTCCTTGTAACTGGGGTTTATCTAGAAGGTTATGTAGTTCATTTTGCGAGGCTTCTATCTTTTCACGATCTGCAGCATCTATCATGTAACTTAAAATAAAACAAAGTGATCTCAGTGTGCCGTCATCTTTGATGATCACAATTAATTACGAAACATTTTTAAGAGTCACACTATTGAAATTGTTAATCAGAATAAAACCCTAGATAAAGATAAGATCATCACCCAAAATAGTTTTAAGTAAGACCATTCTTAGGAGCTGATACATTACAGTAACACATTTACGTCCCCTAGCTCAGAGCTGCATAAACAAAGGGCACAGATAAAACTCTCATTCTACGATAAAGTCTCATGCAATGAGTTACACTAAGGAAACCCAAGAAAGACTGTCACTGCCAAAGATAAAAGGACGAGCCTTTGGAAACAGTAAAAGCCGCCCCCCAGCCCTGCACTGACTGCTGCGGAAGAGCTTACACGATGGCATTGACGCCCCGGCAGTACCGCTCCCACATGCTCCGGAACCGCGGCTGTCCTCCGATGTCCCAGATCTGCAATCCAGACAGACAACGCTCAGCACAGACGCTTCCGAAACGCGCGGAGGAGTGTGCTCAGGTCCAGGGGGCTGGAGCTCACGCACACTCTTAACCTGGAAGTTCCTGGGGCCGCTTCTGAACTCAAAGTTCACACTTGATGTACGTACACTAAATCTGTTCATGTTCTGCTTGAACAATTACTGGAAATACAGCAGTCCTCCCATATCCACAGGCAATATGTTTCAACACCCTCGCCCTGCAGCGGATGTGAAACCACGGACAGCGTCAAATTCCACATACACTGGCTTTTCTTATACATATGTACCTATGATAAGGCATAATTAATAAATCGGGCACACTAAGGGATGAACAACACTAACTGATAAGAGGAAAACAACTACAGCTGTGAGCGACTGAAGGGCAGGCAGCGTGCCTGGTGTGGGCCTGACCGACACAGGAGGCCTCAGGCCCCGCGCGGGTCGGAGCAGGACAGCACAGGCTCCACCGGACAGTGCGCGATGGGAAGCTTACGGCCGGTTCACTTCTGGTGTCTTCCATTGAATATTTTCGGCCTGTGGCGACCGCGGGTAACCGAGACGGCAGGTAAGGGGGACTACTGTATGTATCTGTGACGTAACACTTCCAGAACCTCCAGAATCATGCGTCATCCAGATCCGAATGCCCAGGCAGAAAACAATTCATTCAGAATCTATTATGGCTTTACCGGCTAACTGGGGATGTACATCACTGCCTGATAGTTTTTAATTATTCTGTAAATAATGTAGCCAATATCTCTACCTAGGTGTTTTTCTTAAATAAAATTATTTTATCATTATGAAAGCTACTACCACAGTAATTTCATTACTGTGTCTACTATTCCAGATGATGGGCTACACGGAAGCCCAAGTCACGGTATTTATCCTCAGAAGGCTCCCCCTTTAGCTGCAGGCTCTGGCGCCCGCACCGAGAGGCGCTCGCGGGAGAGGGCGGGAGCGGTCGGGAGCTCCGCCAGGGAAGCCGTGGCAAGTATGCAGTGAACACGCCCTGAGCTGCCGAGCCAACCCAACCACCGAACCCAACCCGCCACGACCAAAACCAAAATATGGTGCCTAATAAATAGTCCAATAGTTATGATTCAAACTCATTCTAAAAACAAAAGTATGTTAAATTAGTAAACTTTTCCCCATTTTATAGTTTTAATTTTAAGGCTGAGTAGTAAAGAAAGGGAAAACTAGGTTATCACATTCGCTACCACAAATATACTAAATTACCAATATTATAAATAATAAGTCACTATTTTTCAATATACAATTGGCCCATGACATAAGGTGATGTCACATCCCAAACACTCTGAAGAGTTGTTTATTCCCAGGACCACCTACATCCCCAGCCACCACCTCTGCCAACCCTCACACTAGGCTCCCCACGGCATTCACCGCTCACCCCTTCTAACTGAAGGAAGAAAAGCACAACCGAGCCGCACTCTTTCGGAGCAGGCCATGCGCGCCGGGAGAGCCGCGAACAGCCACGGGAGAGGCCAGCCACAGCGCTCCTGGCTCCTGGCCGCTGGTGCCGCAGTGTGACCGGAGCCCAGCGCGGGGGCAACGTACCTTTATCGTGACGTTCCCTTTAGTCACCTTCCTCATGTTGAAGCCCACAGTGGGGATCATGTCCTCGCTGAACTGGCCCGACTGGAAGGAAGAAGACACGCAGAATTAGGAAACCACCATCTGACCCCCCAGCGCCGACGCCACGTCTGCGCCCCTCGCAGCGAACCTTCATTTATCAGGGCAGCGACAACCTGCCCCAGGAAGCCAGTCCCCGCAGCCCCAGCTCTTGAGAGGCCAGCACTGTGTCATAGCAAGATATGTTCTCCGACTAAAGATGGTTTTGAAACTAAGGAAATTTTTTACATATTTCCCAAAGTGTAAAAAAAGGAAACATTGTACGTTACAACTACATGTGAAAATTTATTAATTCCCCCACCTACACATCCTTTTCACAAAGTAGAAGAAAATCAGAAGTAAAACTTCATGTTTTTCCGTTTTTAGCATTTATATTACGCTGACAATCACTGTTGAAATTCAATAGCTTTTCTGAGTTTCTCTTTTAACAAGGCTTATAAAACATTGTGTCATAAAGAAATTCTCCCTTTATGTGATTATTTCTGCTCTCCTTTTGGTTCATTACCTTCCTGTCATAAGACTAAAATTAAGTACTTTCTCACAGTATTTGTATAGCTTTTTCAAATTTAAAATTTGGTAAGAGCATAAGAAAGTTTCTTTTTTTCCAAATGGATAACAATAATCATCTCACTCATTAAAAAACCCACCCTTTCCCCACTAGTGTGAAGTGGTAGGCCAAATTCTACCCAGGAGTTCTATGTCTGAGTCCTGCATTCTTTTCAATGAGCCTGTTTATTCCTGAATTAGGACATGAATTACTGCATGAATTTGGAACATTTCTGGAATCATCCTGATCCACCTTTCACATTCCAAATAAACATTAGACATAATGATATTTAACCGCTATCACGTCTCTCCATCCAGGCAGATCGTCCACATTTTTTATCATACTCCATTTTTTTCAAAATTCCTTTTATTGATTTTTAGAGAGAGAGAAGGGGGGGAGATAAAGAAACATCAATTCGCTGCCCCCCATACACACCCTGACTGGGGATTGAACCTGAAACCTTCTGGTGTATGGGCTGACGCTTCAACCAACTGAGCTACCTGGCCAGGGCGGTCCCATTCCTTATTTTGACTGCAATTGTGAAGGACACCCAACGAGTCACGGATAATGCTGATTTTATATACTCGTATTTACATATTTTATTTACAAAACACTAATTTTTCAGTCAACCTCCTCCTTTTCTGGTGAACAGCCCAGGATTATGAAATATCTCAAGTATGGACTGACTAAACAAATACAACTATTTTAAAGGCCCGGACAGCCGCTGATGGTCAGCGGGGACCCCACGCTGCTGGGCGCACCGGCGGCCCCAGGATCTCTCGTCCTGTGCACTGAATTCCAACTTCACAACGAATTTTCTCCATTCAACTCCACAAGTCCTACCTCTTTTTCCCCTTGTTCGGTGGAGTTTGGGCTAATTTCAAAAAAAAGTTAACACAGCTGTAATCACTACTTTCATTTATATTAGACACTATAATTCTCAAAACTTTCACATATGATTCTATGTGGAGATCTAGTCATATTGAAACTACATGCATAAAAACTCATCATAACAAAAATAACCATGATTTTAAAAACTGGCAAATGCAACACCAAAGGCATGACCCATGAACCAACAGTTAATAACCTGGACTTCTTGAAAATGAAGACCCTCTGCCCTGCGAAAGACGCTGTCAGGAGAGTAGAAGACAAGCCACAGCCGCAACCTTCCAGCGCCCGAGCAGCCAACAGACTGTCTCCAGAGGGCACTGGCGGCCTGGGGGCCCGGCCGGGCAGGGGCAGTGGGAGCGAGGCCCGGCCAGGGGCCACCTGGACACCCGGCTCCACGCACTGCCGGCTGCCTCAGGACCTTCCCTGCATCAGCGGTTTGCTTCGTGTGCACTTTGTTTTCTTTCGAGCATCTTTTAATTTTTCCACTTTCAAACTGCGCCCTGTGACGGAAGGGTACAGGCCGTCTGAAGGCGCCGCGCGAAGCATCTCAGCCCGCCCAGCTACGGCCCCCGCTCGCTCCTGTTAGCGCGAGCCTAGCCCGTCACCCCCCCACCGGGTGGAGGAAAACCAGCCCTGGCTGCTCGCTCAGCCCTCCGGTCCCTGCCCTTCGACCACTCCCCATGGCAAGTGTCAACAGGTATGAATTTGGCACCAACTGAGTGACCGGAAGAAAAAAAAAGGAAAGGTACTGAGTAGGAGAAAATGTTTGCAGAAGACACACCTGCTTCCCAAATACACAAAGACCTCCAAACACTCAACGGTATGAAAACCACCTAATTGAAACCCAGGCCAAAGCTCTCCCCAGAGACCTTACCAAGAACGCAGAGGGCCGAGGGCCTAGGAGGGGCCGCTCCCCCTTGGCCGCGGCAGGGAGTGCACGTTCAAGCGGGGCACGGGGTATGCCCGGCAGAGGGCGCGGGGACTTCACCAGGCGCTGGGGAGGGGAGGTCGGAGAGCAGCAGGGACTCTCACGGAGGGGGAGGGACGCAGAGCCCACGGCTGCTGGGAAGACGGCTCAGTGGTTTCTGGCAAAACTGAACACGCTCATACCCCGCGATGCGGCAACTGCGCTCCCTGCTACTTACCCAGAGGAGCTGAAAACTCTGTCCACCCAAAAACCTGCACACGGAAGGTTAGAGCAGCTCTGTCCACCACCGCCCAGGCGTGGCAGCAGACACGCTGTCCTTTGGGAGGTGACGCACAAACAAGCTGTGGCATGTCCAGAGGGGGAAGGTTATTCAGCACGAAAAGAGATGTGCCACTGAGCCATGAAGAGACACGGAGGAACCTTACGTGCGTGTTTAAACGGAGACCCAATATGGCAGGACTGCATGTGTGCAAGTCCAACGATAGGACATTCTCAAAAGGGCAAAACTCCAGACACAGTAAAAAGCGCGGGCCGGGGAGGGGCAGAGCACAGGGGGATTTTAGGCAGTCCCACACTGTGCGCGGTGCCACGGTGGCGCATATGTGTCAGCACACACTTATTTGCCCAAACCCACCGAATGCACAATCCCAAGAACGAACCTTAGTGTGAACTACAGACTTTGGGTGGTAATGACGTGTCAGCGTAAGTGCGTCATTTGTAACCGATGCCCGGACTGGACCGCTCCGGTGCAGGGTGCTTTGGTAATGGGGGAAGCTGAGTGCAGGGGCTGGTGGCACGTGGGAAATCTTTTCACCTGCTCCTCAATTATGCTATGAACCGAAAACTGTTCTAAAATGTCTTAAAATGAAAAAAAAATGGGCAAAGGACTGGAGTAGGCATTTTCTAAAGGAAATATGGAAATGGTTACTATGCACATGGAAAGGTGTTCACAACCACTAGTCATTACAGAAATGCAAATCAAAACCACAAAGAGATACCACCTTATACCCATTAGAATGGCCATTATTTAAAAACCCCTCAAAAACAAAATACAAAGAAATAACAAGGACCACGACGTAGAGAGGGCGGAGCCCTGGCGCGTGGCACGCGGGAGAGTAGACTGGTACAGCCCACGGACCACAGAGCGGCAGTCCCTCAGCTGAGCAAACCCAGGGCTCCCGGGGGACCCCGCACCTCTGCGTTGGGGTGCTGGCCCCGAAGGACGGGGAGCCAGGGCTGGACACGTTGCGTGACACCCGTGTTCACAGCAGCATCGTCCACCTGCCACCTGAGTGTCCGCCGGCAGGGGAACGCAGAAACGCAGGGGGCCCAGTCTCCACAGTAACGCCACGCAGCCTGAAAGGCCTCCTTCCTGCTACAGCACGGATGTGCTCTGAGGATGCTATGCTAAGGGAAAGAAGCCAGTCACGGAAACACACACTGAACGATTCCACTTATACAAGGAACCTTGAGAAGTTAAATTCTAGAAACAGAAGGTAGAGTGGCTGCTGCCACCGGCCAGGGGGCAGCGGGGAAGCAGGGAGTTTCATTTGGGAAGATGAAGCGTTACAGGTGAAGTGCGGGGGTGATCACACAACGAGAATGTACCGCTACGGACCAGACACTTAAAATAGTTTGTCTTGTGCACTTTACCACAATTAAACTAGTATGATATAAAGACGCAATGATCACCCTTTTACAGAACAGGACATAAATTCCCAAGGTCACACAGCTCAACAGCAGCTGATCATGTTTCTCCTTGAAGATTTTCACTCCAAGTGCACGCATAGCCCTTTTTTCCCTATTTTTTTATTATTGTTCAGTTACACTTGTCCCACCCCCCCCCCCACCCCCGCGCTCTGCGGCCCCGCCCCCGTCGTCCGTGCCAAGTCCTCCTTCGGGCTCCTTGGCCTGCCCCTCCCTCTCCTTTCCCCGTTCCACTCTCCCCTCTGGTCACTATCAGTTTATTCTTTTACTTCCATGCTTCTGACTCTGTTTTGCTCGTCTGCTTTGTTCATTAGGTCCCACTTACAGGTGAGAGCGTACGGCACTTGTGTCCCACCCCCCGGCTTACTCCACTGAGCGTAAGGCTCCCCAGACCCAGCCGCGCTGTCGGGGAGGGCAGGAGCCCCTTTCCTCCTGCGGCGCAGCGCTCCCTTGCGCACATGCACCAGGTTTCTGAACCGCTCACTGACTGATGGGCACTCAGGCTGCTTCCCAGCACCTGGCTATTGTAAATAACGCTGCTATGAACACTGGGGTGCACAGGTTCTTTTGAATTGGTATTTTAGAATTCTTAGGGTATAATCCCCGCAGTGGGAACGCTGGATCGAAAGCCAGTTCCATCTTTAGCTTTCTGAGGAGGTTCCACACTGCTTTCCCCAGTGGCCGCGCTCGTCTGCATTCCCCCCGAGAGTGCGCGACGGTTCCCTTTCCGCCACAGCCCCGCCCGCACCTGTTGTTTGCTGGCTTATTGACAGTGGCCATTCTGACCCGTGTGAAGTGGTCATCTCATTGTGGTTTCGATTTGCACCTCTGAAGGCCGGTGATGCTGAGCATCCTTTCCTGTGTCCCTGGGCCCTCTGGGTGTCCCTGGAGAGGTGCATGGGCTGTAATGAATCTCCAAGGAGGGGTCTCTGT